AATCCTGCATTCAGCCCACGGAAGAAGAAAAGAATCTCCAGATTTGCTCTCCCGCAACGAAATTCCTTAGTTTAGGGAAAAAGAAACGACTTTGCCATTTGTGTCCGCAAATGGGCGATTTTCCATTGCCATGTTTGATTGCCAAATGGATCTTAACCAGACCCAACTATCAAATTGTTATAGTTCGTTGATCATGTATATATATATATATTACAGTATACCATTAGACCCTGTCAATATCCATATCCATGTTATGTTAGCCATAAAAACCATTATGTATACCAATAACCCCCCACCAATATCTAAAAATATATCATAAGATATCTGCTGTAATGTACTGTATAATATATATATAATATAATATCTGGGTAAATTATAATATTTCACTAACCTGAATTAAGGCCATAAAAGGGGATGATTCCCCTTACTAACCATGATTCCAGGGTTCGGGAGAACAGTGAGGTCGTTGTGATTTACCCAGATAATATCCAGATAATGTACTGTAATGTACTGTATAATATATATATATATATATATCATATGTATACCCTAGCTATCCAAGGCCGATTAAAACAATGTTACTTTAAGAAGGTCTATTATTCCAAATGTCGAAATGGTCTTTCGTGGGGGCCTTCATTTCCCCTCAAACACTATCATTCTGAGAATTCAGCTATGCACCGGTGTTTTTTGACTCATCGCTGCGCAAACGCACGTCCAAACTATTGTGTACTCGATCTCAACCTCGTTTTCCCCGGGTCCTTGGTGCCACATACCCCTTGCAACCCTGTCAAGCCCCTTTCGCTTGAGCACAGGTAACAAAAACTATCACCAAACCTCCAAAACCACCTTCTTTTGCAATTAAGTGTCCTTTTCCGATCTACGCGGTACTTCATAGTGAGAAGCCTGCACACCAAGTACTGACCAGTAAAGTGGAAACCAAGCTTATATACCACATGATTGGCCCATGTGCTAACTGGCTGAAGGCCTCAATTTTGCACATTTTAGAAGCCATAGATGGCGACGCCGAGGATGAGCTTTAGCTGCAACACCTTGACACAAAACATTATAATGCTTTTGGAAAAAACAGGACATTCCACCCACAGGCAGCAGCAATTGAACATCCAAGACACCTTTGAGCCACCTCATAGCATCTTCATCTACAAATGTGTGGTACATTCGGCAGTTGGTTCCTTGGCCCAGCCAAGGTTGGAACCACAGCTCCACGTGAAACTTAAATACAGGACATCACAGGACCCCGTACCCAGTATCCAAACATACAAACTCGAATCTTTTCCAAGGTGCTCCACCGTAATGCATCTTTGCACAAATGTGCAAAAACCTTGAATACAAACATCAGACAAGTTGGCCCCCAGCACTTCAACTTATCCAAGAAACAACACGTCAGCAGGTAGAAAAAACCCAAGTGACTAGGTAGGGTATTGGCAATACACACACCACATGTTGATATCAGCACGCTTGCAAGACTAAAGTCCAGCTTAGCCACATGGTGTTTTGGACGCATTTGCCATCGGACTTTTCCCATCCTCCAAGCACAGAAGGGATGGTATAAAAGTAAAAGTGATCAGTGAGGAGAATTACCTGACATCCAGGTAGTATCTATAGAGTGTATAATATATTATATATATATCATATCCAAGACTTTTCCTAGGTCAACTGTCAACCCCAACCAGGCCTGATGTGTTCCACACAAAGGACAGTGTAGGTGTCCAGAAATCGCATTCCAGTGTCGTGAAGCTCTTGGGCAACTGCTTGCGTCCTTGGCTCAGAACACTAAATCTATATCTATTATAATATAGACATCGGCCGGTATGATATATGATCATTATATACAATAATGCTATGTCTCAAACACTGATATCACTACAGGTCCAGGTAGCAAACCAGTTTAACACCCACCAATGTAGAATTAGTGGGTGAACCATACATACTTTCCCCAGAATCTAGACCACCACAGGAAATGAGCTTGGAAAAGTTGATTAAACATTATTATATTTCTAGGTCCCGGGGCATTTTTCCAAACTCATTTTTCTGAGATTGTATTATGAAATGATGAAAATCATAAGTACTTTGGTTACCCTAGCTAGTTTACCTGTGTTGGTTAATTTGCCAATACTAGCCAGGGGCTGGAAAGAGTACATGCTAAATATGCGAGCAGTGTTTAAAACCCGTGTTGTTTGATAAATTGTAACTAACATCATAATATATTATAATAATCAACAAGGGGAATCCCAATTAACCAACTCAAATGGCAGAAACGGTTTTGAACACTGCTCATGTGGTTTGCATTTGATCAGGTAAGTGTACCAAACAATCGATCCAGTAGTTCTCAATCACCTTCTCAACTGTGCCCTTGATGGATATAATGACTATGATGTGGTTAAGACTTGTATAACAATGGCGTTGCCATCTGGGGGAACAGTTGCCCATTGATTGATATATTTCAACAATCTGGGGGACTACATATTCAATTCAAATAAATCGATCTATCCACCGGATCAATTTCACCCAAATGAAATATGGGGATAGGCTTCTTGTTGTTTTGGGTATGGGGCCAATCCCAGCCCAGAACTGTCACCATGCCACAAATAGCGGCCATGGCTTTCGCTGATCCTGAACCATTTCACCAGATCGCTCCTTGGGAGGACACGTCTGACTGGGAAGTGGACATGCTGTGGATCTTCACCATCCAACACATGGGTATGATGTGTTCACAGGTATGATATTTTTTGAAAGAAACATTGGTTCTAAAAAATATTGATGTGATTTCCCGATGTGTTTCCTATATTCTTGGGTGGATATTGCTGGAGTTCGACAAAGGAAGTTCTGTCGGACAAAGCCTTTTGGAGTCCCAAACAACTTAGATTAAGGTTTCCTTATCGAGTCCCACTGTTATCCACCAGGGAATATATTATACTGGGTTGTAAGTTGACTCAAGAAGGAAATCAAGCAGTAAGGGTCGGTCATCAACATAGTAAAATGCCATGATCATGCCCACCTAATTTCCCCAAGAAAACTTCGGGGGGCCAACGATTGAATTTGAAGGCAATTAAATACCCACCCAAGCTTCATTGCAGAACTGGTAAGAAGAAGAATCTCATGATTTGGGTGGTGCTGCAATGCCAGTAATAGAGTATGACTCAGCCAGCTCAGAATCACCCTTCCATTGTAGGCCTTGGCAGTGAAAAGTTCGTCGCCGTTTTTCTTCTTCACCTTAGGAGATTGGGTATGGAATAAAGGTGATTGTTATTATTTACAATGGGATTTAGGGAGGGTGTAACATACACACTTGGGCTGTTCGAGGGTTTCCCAAACCAAGTAACCCACTGTAGTAGTATTTCCAGGGGTTGAAACTACCATCATAACTTGGGCAAAAAAAAGGTAACTTTCAGTTCTTCCGAATAAAATTGTATGAGAGCCATGCCACCATCTTTGGAACAAAGGGCGGTTGCGAATGATAAATTTTTCTGGCAGAGCAAAACGCCAGAAAATCCTTGTAGGCAACATCCATTTGGCCTGATAAGCTACCAGGGCCGAAGTATTGAAGATCTTCACAAAGAAGAAGCCTTGGCTGAAATGGTGTGTTGGACACAGGATTGCGGAGCTGCTGTGGGGACTACTATGTACTCTGGCTTCGTTTGCTGCATTGTGCTGATGATGATGTGGGTTTGGAAACTTGGCTTCAAAAAATCTGGCTGCAACCAAATGTCAGACCACCAGCGTTGCAAACAAAGAGTAGGCCCAAGTTCAGAGCATGCATGGAACAGAAACGTAGGAGCCCGGGATGGAATCCCTGAATGTTCAGTAAAGGGCCTCATTCTGTGGCACAAGCTGTAGAGAGAAAGGTGGTTGATGGTGGTTGATTCTTATGGGGGAATCAGATCCCTGAATATCAGGATAATAGAACATCAAAACACTTTAACAGGGTAACTTGGGATACTGAAAAACCATTCCCAATAAGATACAAGGCACAAAGTTGCCTCTCTTTCAGGCGGCGGGCCACAAATTGGTTCAAACTGAACTCTTCTTGGTCCCAGCGGCACGTCGAGGAGTTGTTGTAATATACGTATGGCCAATTGCCCCGAGTTAGGGCAGGGCATCGGAAACATATCACTTGGCTTTGCCAACTGGCACAGAACCTCCAAATGTCCCGATGCCACTCCCAATCACCACGCAGCTCTGTCAAAGCAAACTTCCGTTCGGACTTGCAAATTGGATGTCCTGCCCTTTCAAGATGTTCTCCGGCTAAAGGTAGGCCGCCTGGCCCGACAGAAGGGTTCTGTCCAGTGAAGGCTGCGTTTAAAGACCAACATACTTTGCGCCAGAACACATTGAGGGACCGGTTCTTCACCATTTTGTGTTTTGGCATCGAAAAAAGCAAGAATCGGCTGTGACGGATCGATCTCGGTCTAAACAGTGGCAGATTTAGCCACACAGCAACATATTTTTCTACACGGTATTGAGTCCAAAGCTTTGCTCCGTCCCCATGCAACCCTACTGGCACATGCCACTCTGTGGCAGGGTGAGCACATGCCCACGGTTCACCCAAGGTGCGCGAATGGTTCCAGAATGTCTGGACGTCACAACTAGGCATCTCCAGCTCCACTTCGTTGAAAAGATAGGCTAAAATTCTGTGTGGGTAGACCATAGGGTACAGTTCCACAGAGACCTTACCAGGTAGCTTTGGGTTAAACACAGGGACCCGCACCTCCTCAATCTCCTGGGCGCGCAGCTGAAACCATGGATTGATGTTTGACCATGTTTGACCATGTTTGACCAACCCTCGACCCTGGAACCCTGGATACCCACAATAAAGTTCCCATTGGGGGATATTGGACAAAGGTCTAGTTGGCTTGCAGCAGTATACATCACAAACAATTTTAGCATATTTTAGCTAACCCCAATCATTGCAGTGGATTTGAACCAATTTACCATTGTTTCGATGTTGAAACCGCACTGGAATTAGAATCTTTTCAGAACAGGCCACTGTGGGAGTGCGCAAATTGCAGCATTTCCTGTGCAAAGATCCAACAGCATATGGCGCAACCGGACAAAATTGAATTCCATTCCTCTCTGCTGTTCATTGGCTGAATGCACTATGTCATAGCAAACATTGCTGTACTGTAGCGTATCGACCTTGCTTCTAGTGCAACCACTGACAGTGCCTGGGCACATCTGCAATGGCTATCCACACACAAACCAAAAAACAAAAAAACAAAAAAACAAAAAACCAAAAAACCAAAAAAAACAAAAAAAAAAAAGACAAGACCCAACACTCTGCATCTGACCCCCTTGGGGTGTGCAATCTTGTTTTTTTTGTTTTTTTTTGTTTTTTGGTTTTTTGGTTTTTCGGTTTCTTGGTTTTTTGGTTTTTTGTTTTTTTGGTTTTTGCCTGCCCGACCTCTAGTGCAACCACTGACAGTGCCTGGCAATCTCTGCTTGGCACATCTGCAATGGCTATCCACACACAAACCAAAAAACCAAAAAACCAAAAAACCAAAAAACCCAAAAAACCAAAAAAACCAAAAAGACAAGACCCAACACTCTGCATCTGACCCCCTCCCCTTGGGGTGTGCAATCTTGGTTTTTTTGTTTTTTTTGGTTTTTTGGTTTTTTGGTTTTTTGGTTTCTTGGTTTTTTGGTTTTTTGTTTTTTTGTTTTTTTGGTTTTTTGGTTTGTGTGTGGATAGCCCAGACCTTGCCCATGGGTCTGAACTTTTTTTTTTGTGTTCTCGAGGTTTTTGGCCAAACTGCAAAAAACCATGGAAAAACCAAAAAAACAAAAAGTTCAGACCCATGTCCCCTGCCAGGCCTCTCCCAGACCTTGCCCATGGGTCTGAACTTTTTTTTTGTTTTTTCCATTGTTGTTTTGAATGTTTTTCATGTGAAGATGCTTTCATCACAGTACCTCTCAAAAAAATGCGCGTCTCTACAATTTGCACACCTGCGCCCCCCAGGCCAAACTGCAAAAAAAAACAATGGAAAAAACAAAATTCATTAATGACTTATATAATGACTAATATAATGATTAATATAATGATTAATGTAATGACTTATTTTTTCAAGAATATAATGACTAATATAATGATTAATTAATGACTAATATAATGATCAATATAATGATTAATAAAATGATAAATAAAATGATCAATATCATGATGAATATAATGATTTATATAATGATTAATTTAATGATTATTAAAATGAAGAATTTAATGATTAATACCATGATTATTATCATGATTCATATAATGATTAATGTAATGGTTCATACAATGCCTAATGCAATGACTAATATGATTCATATAATGATTAATACAATGATTCATATAATGATAAAAAAATAATGATTTATTTAATGACTTATATAATGACTAATATAATGACTAATATAATGATTAATGTAATGACTGCATGGAAAAAAGTGCACTCCCACAGCGGCCAGCTCTCAATCTTTTTGGGCCCCAAACTTTGAATAAACCAAACAAAATAATAAACACGTGTAAAACAAACAAATGAATAACTCTTTTGGTTGGCTAGAGGCCACAGGGATATCTGCTGATCTCCAGAAATCCCGAACATCGTTCTTGCCAGATTTAGAAGCAAGTGCAAATGTGTGTTGATGAACTGATGCAGGTCCGCTTTCCTGAGCCAATGTCATGCAGGAATTGGGTGAATCACATCAAGTGTCGAGTCTGTATTTTGGTGATCAAATCGACCTTTGGGGCATTTATCAAAGTCTGGTTGTCCCCAGCAGGATCCCAAAAATGACACCTATAGGTATTTGTGTTTGTGGGCATTGCCTGAAGTCGGAACATAGGTTTTATACGACCCATGAATATTTTTAAACTAGTGGTTGCAAGTCATGGAAACTGTGTGTAATAGTGTTTCTATATCAGGCCGGATCGCATTTAATAAGCACAGGTGGCCTATAGAACAACATCATAGGTGGCAATCCAATGTGGAAACTCACACAAACCTGGCTGATGAGGGGCCACAGGCTTAGATAAGACCATAAAGGATACGTACTTTAGATCGATAGATCAGATATTTCAGTTAATATTTGTAAAGTGGTTCCCCCCCAAAAACTAGTGTCCTGTTTCAGGGATAACAGGTCTGGCTCCAACCATGGGTCGGCAACAACATCCCTTGCCCAGGATCTTGGGCGTGGTCTCGAACGCGTCGCATCACCCGCTTCACAGAGGATACCTAGCAGCCAAGTTGGGGGCGGAAGGGATGATTCTCGTATAGCCCTGGCCCCCATGTTCTTTACGAAGGTCCCTGATGTGTTAATAAATTTGGTTGGCTTTCCCACCAGTTCAAATCATATTATACATACGATAAGGTGAAACACAAAACAAATTTAACACTCTTCGATCAAACATGACCAAGTAACACCAGCAGCAACATCATCATAGTGCCCTTGTAAAGCAGCTGGCACTCGTGCTACACAGTCAGAACGGCAATCTGCGCAGGGGACACAAACAGTAACCATTGGGACTTGTTCAAAAGGGAAAGATTGAATAAACCAGCGATCCAACATTTCGAAGATTCTACGCCTTGTGCCTTTTTTCCTTGAACACTGCATCTCGCATATCCCCAAAGAAAAGAAACCTGGCCATCCTTGTGGCAAGCGACAAAACGCAGCAGACCTGGCATGTCCATTACAGAGGTTACTGTGTAAACTGTACTAGCTATATTACCTTTAAACAATAGCAACCATATTGATGTTGAATAATTTGTATCACTACTTCAGAAGTGTCTGTGAGATCGTTCATGTCTCGCAACTGCTTTGGCTGGTGCCACTGCCACTGTTTGCCCAGGAGAACCCATATTGGTGGACATCTATGATTCCACTTCTGGTGACCATGGTTTCTAAGATGCATGTATGCACGCATCAGACCAAAGTCATGAACATTGAGAAACATCAACCTCACTTGATGTTGTAGGCAGAGAGAAACGTCACAAAGTCCGCATTGACGCTGTCAGCTTTGGCAATCAAGCTGTGCATAGATCCCAAGTGTCCGACCTCGTGCAAGCATTGCGCAATCAGGTTCCGAGACCCAAGCTATCTACCAAAATTGGTTTGTTCTGCATGTAGTGGTGATGATGGTGAGAGAGTTTGAATTTTGATATCCTAGGTGCAACAAACAATCATGGGTCTGTTTAAGGCAAATTGCCATACAGGAAGTCCTCTCAAAATTATAACGTAATGGATCATTGGGAAAATGTTGGTTTAAACGGTTTTCCACCACCAAACTAACCAGTGGGAAACAGGCAGCTATGCCTGCAAGCTTTCGTGTCCAGGTACATACTTGGGGGTGCAGTTCCACTAAGAGGTTAACAGGCAATAGCGTTTTTATCCTAAACTATGGGTGAATTTACCATGCTACTTATGTCCGTTGATAATCAATAAGATGGTGGCCAACACCCAGAACCTAGCCTGGGCAGAGTCCACGGCATTCTGCAAAGACCTTCTTGTAGAGCGCAATTTGTCGAGATGGGGTTTGACCTCCATCAAAATAGCATCTTTCACAGACTTGCTCCTCAGCGATTCCCCAAGTATCCCCAAGTAATATCATGGGGGCAAGAAGGATGCCGTTCAGGGAACCATTTCTGTGTTTCAAACTAAAACGCATTTTTTTTTTGTGATGATGGATGTCTGAAGCTGAATTTGTTTGAATGCATCTACTGTTGTCTTCTACTTGTGACCACCACTACCACTAGCTAGGGGCATCCTTGAAAATATATGCCAGCGACAAAGATATTTGTTGAAAGGTCAACCTTACAAACAAAGAGGACAACATCCCACAATGCAATTTGGGGTCGGGCAAGCCTGGGAGGATAATTACGACCCAACATGTGCTGGTCCAGTTTTTGCCAGCCACAGCCTGGTCCAAGGTTCATGCTCTCCAACTTCTCATCCAAGCCAGCTGCCTTCAAGATGTTGGCACCAAGCTTCGACAAGGCCTCCCAACAGTCATTGCTGGTCGTATCCCAAAAGATAGAATTGTTTAGAACATGATAGCATGGTTTTAGCCCATTGCCAAAAATTACTCCCTTAAAATTTGGTAATTTCTCAACATAAGGGGATGGACAATTTTTTCATGGTAAGAAACAAAGTTTCATGCCTTCTAGAGGCATATAATGTATGTGTCAAACAATTGGTAGTAGGTCAGTATGTATGCATGGTGCATGCATGCATGTGTGCCTGCATTTGGGATCCATTTCACCAAACACAGCAATGAGTATGGACAAACCTTTGTGGATGTACAGCTTACATCAGTTTACCTATCGCATATTAGCCACACCCAACAGGTTGATTTAGATCGACATTGGCAGAGCCAACCTGTGTGCCTTTCTTTTGTTCTTTCTTCAATTCTTGGTTCTTCTCACGTTCAGCCTTTTTCTTCGCTTGTTCTGCATCCTTTGCCTCCTTCTTTTTTTGTGCCTCAGCTTCCTTCGCCAATCGCTTCTGCTTTTTTTCCTCTGTCTCTTCTGGCTCTTCACTTTCATCTGAACTGTCAGATGAGATCACCTCCTTTGGCTTTTTCTTGTCCTTGTCCTTGTCTTTGTCCTTCTTGTCTTTCTTTCCTTTGGCCTTGGCAGCCGTCTTGGAAGCCTTACCGTTTTTTGATTTGGTCTTACCAGTCTTGCTCTTGCCCTTCTTCTTTTTCTTTGCTGCCTCCAATCATACATGGCAATGGTAATGGTTCATGGTCCAAAGCTGTTTGATCCAGGTGGTTTCTTATGATTGAGGTACTGGATCCATCTATATCCAAATCAATTTGACTTGGTTGTAAAGATTTCCCCAGGGTTGGATGAACAATGGAGCCCATATAGCCTCCGAGCTTGAAGAACTTGAATCCACCTTTTCCTGTGAAGATGATGAGCTTGAACTGGACCTGGTCGAAGAAGTAGAACCCTTTCTTTTCTTCTTGTTGCTCTTGCGACCTTTCTTGTCCTTCCTCTTCCTAGAACGACCCCTGCGAGTCTCAAGGGGGTCATCCCCCTTCTCAGCGGCTGTGAACAATTCAGAGCAGACATGGTCTGTTGTGTTTTCAGAGCCTTCTTTGTCCCAAACAAGATATTGCCTGGTGTCCTCAGCAGCGCAGTTTGGAACCATGGTTGGGCAAGGGCCTAGTTGATAATTTTTAGTAATTATATATTCCATGTTGAACTGGGAAAACAGTTTGTTAACAGTATCAGGAACACATGTGGCACACTGCTATATGTAATATGTACTCTATACACTCTATGCATATCTACAAGCACACTACATGACATGTGCGTGCGAGAATCGTCCGAGTCATCCCCGTGAAGGTCAGGGTGGCTCCTTATCTGGGTTTTTTTTGCTTCTTTGTCTCCCTGCTTGGCTGCTATGATTTTGTCTGCGATAGCACAGCTTGAGTACTTGCAGATCAACTCCTGACGCGTCATCCAGCGTCTGGCGCCATACTGGCGTTGGCGGGTCTTCTGTCGCAAACGGATGACAAAGTCACTTTGGCTCCATATGCCCTTGCAACTGGCCCACTGCTCCTGTAGCATTTGTAACTTTGGGGAATCATTCTTTGCCGCGGCCCCTGCCCGGCGTACCTCGATAGGTGTTCGTTTGCCTTGGCTGGGGCCGGTTGGCTAACTAGGCACTACTGCAAAACAGATGTTGGGAGAGTAAGACCTATTTGGACATAGGCAGGCTTTAATTAGTTTATTATGAGGGATATATTGGGCCTATAGGCCTATAGAGGGATATCTTCAGCAATTGCCTTGATGGGACCTGATGGGACTGCCAATGTCAAGCGACCATTGTTGCCTTTTTGTATTTTACAGTGCGCATATGTTTTCAAAACCAAATACCACATCCCACACTGAACAATATTTTCTTTGGAAGAGGTCCTCACGTTGAATAGGACATCTTGGGCAAATGGCCAAACATGTGTCAATCAATGATTGCTTAAAAATTCAGTTGTTGATGTGCTTTTGTCATCGTCACTGTCCCTCCATATCTTGACATCCAAGACACTTGTCAAGCTCCTGCTAAAGCGCATATAGCGCGCGTGTGCAGCTTTTTTGGCCTTCACAAGCGCTTCCTTTCGCTCATACTCTTCGGACTCCACATCGCTGTTAACCTCTGATTCTGAGTCACTTGCGTCCTGTTCTTGATCTGCTGATCCTGCTGGAGATGGACCACCAGAACTGCCACCGTTGAGCTCGGCTGTGGATTTCCTGGCAAGGCATTGCGCCACTGCGTGGGCAGTAGTCTCAGTCTCTTCTTTGAAAGCCACCTTTGGTTGGGCTTTTGCTTTCACTGCTGTTGCCTGAGTTCTGACACCTGGATTGCCTTGACTTTGGTTCGGTGATGTTGCCTCGTCTTTCAAAAGTTCTTTGCTTTGGATCCTCTGGGGGAGCTTTGGCCTCTGGCTGTCAGTCTTGTTGGAGTTGTCTGTCTCTGGCTCCACTTGCTTCTTTGACAGTGCAAGTTTCTGTTGGATTTCAGTCTCTGAAGCTGGCACAGTAGATGCATCAGAATCTGGCGGCAAAACCCGGTGTAACACATCCAAAAGAGTTCAGTGGCTGCTGTGATCATGTTTTTTTGGTAAAAAGGTTTGGGACACCACACCAACAGTCATTGTGTTTGCCAGCCACATGGTCTAATTTTCGTACCTCTAAGACCGAATTCCATCAACCATGTACGTACGTACGTTATAAACACAAATTTGCTTCCCATCTGGGTGCAACCCATGTGGCCACTGGGCAGGCAGGACAGATCTGGCCAAAACCTGTTATTGATGATCCTTCTGCATGTGTCTTGACTGCAAGGTTGGGTTGGGAAGTACACTGGTAGCCAAAACTATATAATTTTATGTTCCCCATTGTTCCCCCAAGTAACTACACCCAACATCAAAAAGAAGGTGGCTGAGGGCTACCATAATTTACTTCCAGAATGAAAATTGCTCATATGATCGAACTTATGTGCACATAATAAACGTTCTGCAGGAAAGATTGTTTGGGCCATCCACCAAATGAGAGAAATCTCATTCCTTTTGCAGTTTTGAAACCGTGTTTTGGGATGGGGCCAACACGTCACAAACCAACACCTTATAACCTCATCCCAATGGGAAAACCTAGTTTCATCTAATTTCAGAATAATAGATGCCACATATACAAGGGTATATATCCACCAGAACTGTGGGTGGGCTCAGAAGATTGCATCAGAGGGAAGTATGGCTTGATTATCACATGTGCTATAAACTTGAAACTTACCCCTATACACTTGACATTTTTTTCTTTGTGGGAGAATCATCCAAAGAAATGAATATAGGATATTTTTTGATCAACCCTCCCCACAACCATACCGGGCCTGCTTCCAGTGGCATCATCCTTCGAACCTTTCGACTTTTCCCATCTTGAGAAACTTGCTGTGTCCTTCCAAACAAGTCGAAACACAGGGGGCATGACCCAATCGAAAGCTGAGGCTAGAATGGTTTCTAATTTGAAATATTTTTGGGGATGGTCACACAACTGCACAGATCCCTGATATAATATATATAATTTGTAAATCATATAATTATATTCTTAGCCGCACACAGCTATCAAAACAATTACAGGGGGGATCCAGGAGGATGTTTTTTTCTCACCCAATGGTGCCATGCCCCAACCAAACAAGTATAAGTTGTTTTCCCTACATGGGTAGGCCATGATGGGTAATACCCACAAAATCAGTCCTTCCCACATTCGGTTCATCATCTTGTGGAGGACATGTATCCATGACAGCTGTCCGCTCTGCCCTGCGGGCTGCCTTTTCCAACAATTTCTGCACAGCTGACTCCTCCATGGAGCTAGTCCCCTAGTAACACACCAGAGCCACACCAAAGCGCTAGCGGCAGGGTGATTTCTTTTTTTGAAACAGAAATATCACAAAACACTGGATTTTGGGGTATTTTGGGGGTAATGGCTTTCACGGATAATAATGGGCTTTCACGGCTAATAATAGGCTTTCACGCTCATTTCACGCTCATTCACGCTAATTTCACGCTACCACTTTTTGTGAATCATGTTAAAAAGTAGCGAAATCATTCTGTTTTGGATGAATTCAATTGTGATGTGAACTTAACCGTGAAAGCCTATTATTTTCCGTAAAAACCCATTATTTCAGACAGAACATCCACCAACATCCACCAGCAACTTCCTGACTCGAAGGTTTATTTTTCACATGACTGGATTCGGCACGATGCGAATTGTACAAGGGGCACCCTGTAGGCCAACCCAGAAAAAACAGGCTTTGTTGGAGTAGTGGTAGAGTTATGGTTGGTTTAAGATATTTCATTTATCAGCCCAGGGTGGATATCTTTAATTGGCAGTAAAAGCCAGGGCCATGATTTGATTTGTTTCAATCAAGGCCTTCTTGAATCAATGGGTGATAACGTCCCGCTTTCTTCTCACTATTGAGAAAGTCCGTCAGCTCTGAGAGACGAGCATGACGCCACCGATATGGGGCCTCCCAGCCGCAAAGAAAAAATCAAACAGTATAGTTTAAAGTAGAATTTGTGGTAGATCATAGCCCCAAGGCCTATATAGGCTATAGCACTACGACTAGAGAAAAATGTATTTGTGGGAATTGAGAGACTATAAATTACACAATTGGGGTCGACAATTTCCAAGATTTATCCTTACCTGTATGCATCCACCCGCCATCGAAAAGAAAATGCACATTGACCACAGTGAGTCCCCAAAACCACAAACCCATCGATCCCTGAACTATTTTCTGACATAGGTTGCTGAATTCTACTTTCAGGAATTTTGTTTGGGACCATAGAAACCCCAAGGAAAGAACACTCCCAACTTCCAACATCTCCCAACCTTCATGGGCTTCCAGCTTGGGTCGATGTTCAAACCACCTTCAGGCCGATAGAGAGCCCGACGAATCGTCTCCACGCTGCCCGGTGATTTCTGCGGCAAGGAGAGGGCAAACCGATTTGGACATGTCTTGTGGCTTATGGGGAAAGTTCAAACTAAGTTTACCAACAGCATTTGCTTTGAAAGTTGGAATGTTTTCACATCCTGGGGAAAGGGCCAAAGGAATTGTAAGTTGATTGGCCTACAAAAACTATACTCTGACCCCCTACCAATGGGAAACAGCTGAGCATTCACAAATTAAATTGCAAAGTTTTTTTAAAATAGATTGAGCACTTCCATATATCTTGTAAACAAGCCAGCACTTTTCACAACCTTCAGTAATTGCCAGCCCCCAATCCACTTTGCAACCATAGGGCCATCCATTTCATATGGTGGTCTCGGACTGCACGCCCAAACCCAATCGGGTACACTTGTGACTTGCGAAGCACTGAAGCAATTCCACTCCTGGGCTCCCCATAACTGGACATGTTTTCTTATCATGATTGGGATTCTGCATAATATACATGGTTTGCAGCTAGGATGGTATCGAACTAAACAGTTGGAATTCAACAATCCAATCCTGAGCTATTTTGCGACTAAGCTTACCACACTCTGGTTCGGCCATTTTTGGAATATTTGCGAACAGTCTTCTTGGACTTCTTCACCCGTTTTCGGATAGCTGGTGTAACCTTCTTGTACAAGCGGTAGGACCAAGGACTCAGCAGACATTATTGGAATTGAAATGAACATATAGCCACTAATTGTAATCTTGAATGTGGACAATTAAGGCCAAACCAATCTCCAAATACCACCGTTGGCTTCATGTTTGCATGGCCAAAGATCGCCATACTACTCAGAGGCCACAGAAGCAATCAGGTGGGGGTAAAGGTGGATAGCAATGATGCTTGTGACACGATCAAACATGATAGCAGGTAGAACATTTGCATAAACACTGAGGGAAGAACAATGACGTTGAGAGCCATGGAATGAAGTGCTTCACAATGCCGGCCAGCCATTTGAAATATGGGAACTCTTGCATCAATGTGCTGAGAGGTTGCTCCACTGCTATCAGCACCAATCGAACAAATGCCAATAAGAGTAAGAGGCATAGTCGTGTTGTTATCCTTAGTGCAGACTCCAGGTTTGAAACTGGCTCACATATACCATGTATACCCTAGCCGTAGCCACACCTGCTACTAACAAACAGAACTTTTTCACATTTGGTAACCTTGTCATGGACTAGATGTTTTTCCCCCGGCATCTTGCATTTGGGACATGATTGGACTCTAAAACACACACAATCTTGGAAAAGTAAAACCATGTTAATTCAGGCAAACATCACGTTCGCTTCCACCACATAGCCTCTCTTGTTGCCCAGTGGTGACCACTTTGTTCTCCCAGAAGTGAACATATTCAAAAATATGAAACTCCCGCAGGGAGGACCTGCTGTGATCAGCCCCCCTTCCTTGACCTGGAGGACAAGCTGGATGGATCGCAAGAATCCTTCCCTCAGTACGCCGATGCAGATGGGGTGAAATGGTGGCTGGGCAAAAGGGTGCATCAAAACCTCACCCCTTCTCAGCACTTTTGATTGAAGTGTTTTTAGAATGGAGCATGACTTTTATCATCTACGCTTCAAGATTTTTGTGGGTTGAGGCACTTGAGGAACAAGTCAATTTCAAAATTCAACAACAGTTGTTGACTTTTGATCCACCCAGATCTAAGGTGTTGGCGTGGTGGTAATGTCACCAAAATTTCCCGAAGTCTCTTTGTCAATGGCTTTCCTGGGAAGTAAGTTTATGAAAGCAAACGAAGCACAACCTAAAGTCGGCATGTATAAAATTACAGCTGATGGCTCATATAGGTTCATTCATGAGTTCTTCTGAACTGAAATCGAAGCAGGTAAGACCAGTACGATTTCAGACCATCTTCAACTCAGCCCATCGGCAGGAAACTAATTCAGCCAGTACAGCCCAATGTTGCCACGTTTAAAATGTTGAAAGCATCCCCCCCTGAGACTTTCACTAAACGCTCGATTGATGGCACCACGACCTGCAAAGAGATCGCCATTGATAGTCTCCTGGGAAGGATCGATAATATGTCTGGGGGTTGACCTGTGTGTGCATGTGCCGATATTCCCCAAAATGGTAGCTGCGCTGTTTGTAAATTCAATTTTTCATGGTCGAGAATCCAAACTGAGTTCAAAACCCGAACACTTTGATCATGTGAGCTATTCTCCACCACATAGTCCACACAATGTAGACTTGGAGCGACAGTGAAGACTTTGGAAAATAAACTTCAAGAATCAACAGTGCAATTTGCTTCAACAAGCAGGTGTCACTACAGGATTGCCACTCTTAAATCGATCTGTGTCCCACAAGAACACTACAGCATTTTTTCCAAACACAAGTTTGTGGATTGGCTTCATCAACCCCTTAAGAATATTAGTGCAACCATGGAGCAATGGTAAGATGCCCGGACCTCCAAGGATAAGCAGAAGTTGGGCTGCTCGAGCGCTCAGAGCGAGAGGAGACACTGGATGGGCCCGATGGGCTGGTCTCTGGGGCATGGCACCAAACCCTTTCTAGTTCACGGCTATCCCAAAAGCTGCAAAATCATTTGTTTACGGAATCTTCGATTGACTTGGAGCATGCCTTTGCACCAACAATGTGTGAGCAAAATATGTACTTTGTCAAATGAAAATCAAAACTTTAACCAGACCGGGCTTTTTTCCACGTTTGTTTCCCTGGTGTATATGTGATACTTGTCAGCATCCAGCACAGGATGGTAAAGACCAAGGCTAGCCAGGGCATACCATTGCAACCCCGGTGGAAAAGTAGACAATACTAAACAAATAAGTTCTGGAAATCCAAATAGGCAAATGGTTTTTAATACGAATCGAATCAGTGTTGATTCAAGTAAGCCACCATAACCCTGCATGTATACCCTCTACGCCAGCAAGTCTAGTCGCTAGAACCCAATCAGCCAAAAACGCTCACGCCGCAATCTAACTGTTGTGCAGTCAATCAGATTCTGAAGAATCTGGTGCCATCGTTTGCTCATCAAAGATCTCCCATCCAGCCAGGCGTTTGGCAATAAGCCACCTAGGTTTGTTTTTGGGTAAACCTTTAACAACATGTATGGTGTTGGTTAGCTAGAAATACAACTTGTTTTGTCTTCTAAACATGCATCAAAATTTCAAACAATGTGAAAAAAAGCTACAGACAGCGTAAGCCCATGGCGCTTTCACGACACCATATTTCGTCCAGGAAATGCTGACACCTTTCTTCACATTCACCTAAGAAGCAGCTATGCGATGCGGTACCATGCGTTTGCGATCTTAACACACAAATTGGCCAGCTAGTAGTTGAAAGGAAACCAGCACTGTAAAGTCAAGTAGCATTCAAGCACATATTCATGAGTCTATTCACTTTCTCAATGCGTGCCACTGGAACAGGGCCAGCAAAGAAGGTTCGAGTGTTCAGCCTTAGATCAGTGACTGTTCCAAATGGGGGAATTTTGAAACGACATATTGAGGGTGTCCCGAAATCATCAAATACCACAGGCACCCTGAACCAAGCAACAAGACACCAATTGTACTTGGCTTTCCTGGAGCAGCAGCAGTGTAGTTCTCAGGCAACTTCAAGGTAAAGGTCCTGACCAGCGGTGATTTGATTGGAGGATGATCTCACCCGTATAATTATCATGTAGACGCATCGATGATTGGTATAGGAGATATCGATCGGTCTAAATGACATGACATGCACAATATTTGCAATTATACACGCACTATATATGCAGGTTCCAAACCACTGGGTCCCCTACTTCTGAGTGGGTATGTGGAAGGGAACCCTGCCCTTTTCGACATCATCCATTGCTCTCTGAACTTCCAGGGGCGGCAGGAAAAGCTCACGATCAGATCGTGCCACCAAAGCAGCATCCCGAAGTCCTCGCTCCTAAGATGACATGCATATACGTGGTATATACGCTGGGGTAGTTTCGTAAACACATGCTTACGAACATCGCATCAAACAAACAAAACAATCAACTACACAACAGTTGGAAAGATTGGATACACAGCACATGGGTTTTGAAATGGAAAGTGAGATCTCTTATATAATAATTTAGTGAATTAGAATAAGATCAAATGAATAATGTACTCCTATCTGTTTGTTCTTGAAGCTTTTGGCATTGACAGTACTTGCAATGTCACAATTGTGCATGCATACCAAGGAATGGCATGCCCAGAAATTGTGTTTAATCTTTTAAAAACTACACCAAAAATATGCTGAGTGTCTGAGATTTCATGCGTCCTTTTCGGGGGCTTCTCTGTCGTGGAATCAGCGTTCTCTCCACTCTCATCAAAATCCAGTTTACGTTTGACCGAACTTTTTTTATCCACAGCCCGCTGTGCAGCCTTGAAGGCCACCTGCATGGGACTTGACTTTGCAGCTGATTTTTTCTTTTTGGGTTTCGGGGTGTCTTCTTCTGCCTCTTCCTTTTCTTCGTCCTTTTCTGCAGCCTCCTCAGCACTTTTTGCCTTTGTCTCCTTAGACTTTCTCTTCTTGCTGGGCTCTGAAGCACCTTCGGATTCTTCTGGTTGGATCTTTTGTTCCTTCTTTCTGCATCCTTCTTGGCTCTCAGTGCTGCCTCGGACTGTAGGGTCGTCCCCTTCATCTTGCTCAGCTTTGCCTTCTTCATCTTTGCGCTTCTTTCCTTTCCCTTTGCCCCTTCCTTTGCCTCTGCAACGTCCTCGTCCTTTGCGATTATCATCAGACTCCTCTGCTGCATCCATAAGGAGCTTGTCATCGTCATCCTCTTCTGACCCCAACTCCTCCGTTGCCTTGAGTCTCTTCATCTTCCTCTGGGCATTGACAATGTCATCATTTGTAGTGAAGGAAAGAGCCTTGTGTGTTTTCCTGATCTCTTCTTTGAGCTTGTTGGATTTGTCTTCCTGCTCTTTGCTAGGCATCAGCTCAACTTCTATGAGTGGCTTCCCCTGGTCATCCATGAAAGCTGCGCACTTTTCACCAGCATCATCGTCACTACTGTCTAGCTCAAACACAACACTTTGTGCTTTCTTCATTTGTTGCTGGGGGTCTTCCTTCTTCTTGTGTTTGGCGGTGTCATCCTTCGGCTCAGCACTTTCCTCCTTCTTCTCATACTGCTTTTTCTTCTTTTCCTTCGGTTCAGGGGGGTCTTCCTTCTCCCTCTTCTCACGTTTGGCAGTGTCCTTCTTTGTCGGCTGACTCTTCTTCTCCTCATGCTTATCCCCTCAGATTCTGCAGCCTCACTTTCCTCTTTCTTCTCACCCTGCTTCCTCTTCTTCTTCTTTTCGTTCGGTTCAGGGTGGTCTTCCTTCTCCTTCTTCTCACATTTGGCAGTGTCTTTCTTTGTCGGCTGACTCTTCTTCTTCTTCTCATGCTTATCCTCCTCAGACTCTGCAGCCTCACTTTCCTCTTTCTTCTCACCATGCTTCTTCTTCTTCTTTTCCTTCGGTTCCGGGGGGTCTTCCTTCTCCTTCTTCTCACGTTTGGCAGTGTCCTTCTCTGTCGCCTGACTCTTCTTCTTCTCATGCTTCTCCTCCTCAGATTCTGCAGCCTCACTTTCCTCTTTCTTCTCACCATGCTTCTTCTTTTTCTTTTCCTTCGGTTCCGGGGGGTCTTCCTTCTCCTTCTTCTCACGTTTGGCAGTGTCCTTCTCTGTCGCCTGACTCTTCTTCTTCTCATGCTTCTCCTCCTCAGATTCTGCAGCCTCACTTTCCTCTTTCTTCTCACCCTGCTTCTTCTTCTTCTTCTTTTCCTTCGGTTCAGGGGGGTCTTCCTTCTCCTTCTTCTCACGTTTGGCAGTGTCCTTCTCTGTCGCCTGACTCTTCTTCTTCTCATGCTTCTCCTCCTCAGTTTCTGCAGCCTCACTTTTCTCTTTCTTCTCACCTTGCTTCTTCTTCTTCTTTTCCTTCGGTTCCAGGGGGTCTTCCTTCTCCTTCTTCTCACGTCTGGTAGTGTCCTTCTCTTTCGGCTTGGACATCTTCTCCTCCTCATGCTTCTCCTCCTCAGATTCTGCAGCCTCACTTTCCTCTTTTTTCTCATCCTGCTTCTCCTTCTTCTTTTCGTTCGGTTCAGGGGGGTCTTCCTTCTCCCTCTTCTCACGTTTGGCAGTGTCCTTCTTTGTCGGCTGACTCTTCTCCTCCTCATGCTTCTCCTCCTCAGATTCTGCAGCCTCACTTTCCTCTTTCTTCTCACCATGCTTCTTCTTCTTCTTTTCCTTCGGTTCCGGGGGGTCTTCCTTCTCCTTCTTCTCACGTTTGGCAGTGTCCTTCTCTGTCGCCTGACTCTTCTTCTTCTCATGCTTCTCCTCCTCAGATTCTGCAGCCTCACTTTCCTCTTTCTTCTCACGCTGCTTCTTCTTCTTCTTTTCCTTCGGTTCAGGGGGGTCTTCCTTCTCCTTCTTCTCGCGTCTGGTAGTGTCCTTCTCTTTCGGCTTGGACATCTTCTCCTCAAGCTTTTCCTCCTCAGATTCTGCAGCCTCACTTTCCTCTTTCTTCTTCTTCTTCTCCTTTGGCTTCGGGGGGTTGTTCTTCTTCTCATGTTTGGCAGTGTCCTCCTTCTTTGGCTGAGTTTTCTTCTCTTCAGGCTGTTCCTCCTCAGATTCTGCAGCCTCACTTTCACCTTTCTTCTCATCCTGCTTCTTCTTCTTCTCCTCTGGCTTCGGGTGGTCTTCCTTCTTCTCGCGTCTGGTAGTGTCCTTCTCTTTCGGCTTGGACATCTTCTCCTCAGGCTTTTCCTCCTCAGATTCTGCAGCCTCACTTTCCTCTTTCTTCTCCTTTGTCTTCTTCTTCTCCTTTGGCTTCAGGAGGTCATTCTTCTTCTCCTGTTTGGCAGCCTCCTCCTTCTTTGGTGGAACCTTCTTCTCCTCAGGCTTCTCCTCCTCAGATTCTGCAGCCTCACTTTCACCTTTCCTCTCATCCTGCTTCTTCTTCGTCTTCTTTGGCTTCGGGGTGTCTTTCTCCTGCTCATCTTCACTGGGTGGCTCATAGTGCTGAGTTGCGTCTTCCATCTCTTGCTGTGTTTCATCCATCTGCATGGGCTGGGACTCTTCCGACGGAAACCTTTGCCGGTCTTCGATGTGGTCTTGGAAGGGGTCTTCAAACACCGAAGGGATACTCATGGGAAGTGTGTCCATCTCATCCGGGTTGACGACTGCTTCTTTCACCATCCCATCATCTTCTTCAATTGACTCACTTTCTGGTTCTTCGCTTGCTTCAGGTTCTTCACTTTCTGTGTCCTTGTCATCTTTGTCAGAAACCTGACTTTGTCCTGCTGGTACCTGGCGCACAGTTTAGAAAGGGGTTTCGTTTTAGACCTCTTTCAGTGTTGAAAAATTGCATGCACATGTGATGTGCATAGCAGGTATCAAATGTGCGAGGCATAAACATAAAATTTTCAACATTAGAAAAAACCATTTGGATAGCCAGAAAACCCCCAACCATGCCCATGTGAAGCTCCTGCTTTGGGGCATTTCGGCCCCGCGTCGGGATCTTCTTCCCTTTCTCTGACAGCATTCCCAAAGACTGGCCAGGTGCCGGCTGACAGGATTGGATAGAAATTATACATGCATATGAAAACATACATGACAATGAGGTCAACAATTACAACATATATGGGGATTGGACATATATCAAGAATAATTGTTTCACACTTCTAGTTGGTTCGAAACAAAGGTAAACCCTACCACCAGGCCTGAAGTTTGGCCTTGATCACGGACTTGATCTGTGTCATCCCCTTGTGCCCTCCCCTTGGTGGAAACCCAAGGGCCCATAATAAATTAAGAGTCAACCTGGAAATTCATTATTGTGAATCAACCACTACAATGATCATGAAGAATCAACATAACACCATATCAACGAGGAGACTACTTGGTCAATATCATATTTAACTTTGATTTACAGGTGGTCAAGGAAGGAGAAAATAAACCACAACATTTTCCTGTGGAACTACTGAGGAAAGTACCGTGCCCGAGATGTTTTTTGAAATCTGACCATGCAGTAGCCAGCAAAAGCTCGGTGCAGTCCACCTTCAGTTGTTGCCCAAGCCTTAGGGTGAACCCCACAATGGGAAACCCACCAGCATCTATAATATATGTTTGAGCCCTTCAACGGATGGTTGATGCAGAACTTAGAGATCAGCAATTAATCCACATGGAATGTAATGAATGAAGCTGAGCCACACGGTGCTCAGCTTCCGAGCTAAACTGAGGGTTGAGGCCGTAAATCTGGCTTGCCCAGACCAAAGCATCCTGAACCACATTTGCACACCCAAAGATGCCTGCCCAAGAAGCAGCCTTTCCCAACCATAGTCACACCATCATATGTTGTTTAGCTGTCCTATCACACAAACATCAGTCCTGTGTCTCTGCGTCGGTGGGAATTTTGTCACAGAAAGAAGCCATGTATTCCAAGAGGAAATCCTTGTTGGGATCAACCTGGCCCAAGCTGAACAGAGCTTATTTTTTCAAAAAGTATAAAAAACTGTGAACTGATTTCCCAGAACAACATGGGGCAGTGCAGCCTCAACTTCCTGGATGGCATCCGATTTGACAAAGCGTGTGACGAAGGTAAACACAGGTACCTGAACACAAAAATCTATCTTTTTTTTAAGGCAGTGCATTGTGACATTCTGGCCAAAGGAAAAAATACAACAGTGTTCACAGATGGGTTGACACTTAGATTGCCAAATTGCTGTTGGATCTCGTGCTTTCAGGCCAGCTCTGCGTCTCAGCATGGAACGACGGTTTGCTATGTAGTCCTCCTGTTCAAGAATGTCTTTGTAGAATTCCTCAGTGGCTATATCTATACATGGTTTCTGTCTATGTATGGGATAAAGCAAAAATATATTTCAATCGATAACATGTGTTGTATTGTGTCATCCAGTGGCCTGCACCAACTTGCCACCAAAACACCTTCAGGAGCTGCACTCGGTCTTCGTGAGACACAGCCATCGACCGCCAAAAGCAGCGCTGGCAGCTCTTGGGCCGGGGAAACCCCCAAAAAAGGTGATCCTTGAACCTGATCAATGTACATGTCATATGTTTCGTTGGTTGAATATGGTTGAATCAATTGCATCATAAATTAAATCACTGGAATGTCACACTCTGAATGTCAGAGGTAGTGCTGGGTAGGGTGGTGGCACCTCTCAAAACTTCCGGCGGGTGCGGGAGCAGGTTCTGATCTTCCAACAGTCCTAAGCTAACTAAGATAAGATGAAACTTGTTCTAATTGGCTCCATGATTCCGAGTCCTCTATTGAATGGATTGCAGTAAGATGAAAAAACTGAGGCTGCATCTTCTTCGCAAAGCTTTTTTCATCTTCACGTGGCATGTACCACCTGATAACAAAATGCCATTTGAATGATGCCACGAGTGTTGGTGAACCCAATTTTAAAAAAAAACGATTTGCATCACAGTCGGTCCTAGGTCTGTCTGAAAAATGGGTTACCACTCAATGTGATGATCTATAAGATCATCGTCCTTGCTGAAATGGGATTGAAATGGAATCCTTGAATTAATGCTCGGCTAAATCTAAAAGAACAGATTGGGTGAATTTATTTTTGGGTTTACCACCTGGAGATGTCAGATTCGAAGTATTTGGCAGCATATCTGCAGCCAAAGGCGCTCGTGGCCAATGTAGATGCCAAGAGTGCCAGCCAGATCCCACCAAGCAAAGCCATCCACAGGGTAGGATTGGATGGAAGGGTCAACCAAGTAGAAACCAAATTGGATGTAATCATATCATGTCAGGTCAATGTGTGAATTTTATGGTTTGTTCATAATCATCCTGATGTCACTGCGCTGGATACCACAAATAAATAAACAATAATGATGGTTTATTCTTTCAAAATTATGTGATGTTTGATGAAGTTGGGGCGAATTCTTGTAAAATTTCATGATTTTGAGGGATTTGTCTCATGAACCTTGGTCAGCAAATGGCTTTCATATGCTAATAATGGTCCTTTGCAAAGGCCGATTTCCCCCCAATGGCTTTTCATATGCTAATAATGGTCCTGTGTGCAGGCCTATTCTTTTAATAGTCCTTGACCCCTAGGGTATATATATATATATATCTATATGTAATATCCATATTAATTAGTCCCAATAAAAACAAAACAATGACGCAATCTCTACGCCTCGTCTCCTGGTCGCCACTACGGGCGCTTCGTTTGGGGCTGCCTTTCTCAGAGCCCGCAGAGCCCGCCGTGGCCGTGCCCTTGCGGCTGCCTGGTGGATGTTGAGATTGTAAAGTCCCCAGTGGATAATGATGGTTAATATCATATATATATATATATATATATATATATTGGTTACTATATGCTAAATGATGGTTAAGTTCATAATCTGGTTGGTGGTTGAGCCCTACTCCTCTGAAAAATGATGGAGTTCGTCAGTTGGGATGATGAAATTCCCAAGATATGGAAAAATAAAAAATGTTCCAAACCACCAGCCAGATTTTTTATGGCTAATGATGGTTAATAACGATTAAATATTTGTACATAATGGGTGTTTAACAAAGAATAGATGGATGTTTAGTATAAGCAACATATAATGCATTATGGATGGAAGAAATCCTGCACCATTTGGTGAGAAAATTGTGGGACGCTGAAACTATAATGGCACTAACTATAAAGGGGATTTTATCCATGTGCCAACTGGTGCAGGATTTCGCAACCATCCACATATCCACAGCATTCCAGTATGCACAGTGGTGGCTTCCCCCAGTTATGAGATGGCCAGTAAGTTGGCCACAAAAAAAAAAACATTGACCATTTTCTGATATCCTCCGCTGATGCCCTGACCTTAACTGATAGGTCAACTTAGCGAGGGCGGCCCAGCTTGTGGTTTTTGTTATCCAATATGTTTTAAGGGACTTGGAGGGTCGATTGGTAGTACCCTCTGGTAATTTAACATAGCCATGGCATAGATGGCCCATTTATAGATGGTTTACCTATTAAAAATTGTCATTTTCCATGGCTACGTTAAATAACCAGATGGTAACAAAAAATGGACAATCACATTGCCCCCTAATATGAAACACTCCCACTATACAGTCCCAAATCTGTGTATAGATCCCCTACAAAACCCCGGTTTCACGGGGTGTTCAATATTAGGGGGAAGGGATTTATATCCATGGATCTTTGATGACGGAAGTGATGGCCAACTCCTACTTGGATCATCCCACTTAGTAAGTCCCAATTCCTAGGGATACTCCATTTACAAGTGGGTTACAACCACACTTCCTAACCAACCAACCAACCCAGGCGCCTTTGGCCTTCTTGCCTTTCCCCCGTGGCGACGGCGTCGTCGCCCCGGCGTTTGCCAAACCTCTGTGGTCGCCTTCATCGTCGCCCACATCCACTCCTTACGATGGCACTCATTGGGATTGAGCCGACGAAACATGTGGCTTAAAGTGGGTTAAACATGCTTAAACTATAGCGAAATAAGATTGGATTCGAACATGATTTAACATGATCTAACATTATTTAACATGATTTAGCCCTCTAAACTAGTCGTTTAATCGACAAGAGGCAAGATTTCTTAATCAACTAACGTGAGATGTTTATCGCTCAAAAATGAGGATTCAGCCAGCAAAATTGCCATTTCACCAACCAAATTGGGAAAACACGACTGGACATTGGATCTTCCGTGCTATTCCTTCAGGAATTCCTTCAGGTAGATCAATGAATCTATGTGGTTCTAGTATCCGCTGTCACTTGCTATCAACTTCCACCCTATCAGGCCGTCCTGCAGCTTTCAGCTGTGCCTTTTTCAAAGAGCGTTCACTGCGGAGCTGCTTCAACTGATAGGTGGCACTTTCATTCATCCTCAACGCCGCTTAAATGGAAGCGGAGGCCATCAAAATATATCAGAATTCCATGCAGCCTGATAGGGACCCTGATAGGCACCACCATGCCGAATGCCCAAAAAGACTCCAACACCATTCACACAACGACACACAGCTTCTATCAGCTTCTAATGTCTATCATGCTTCGTAGTCGCATGATCAATCCACGTGTTGTGCGGGTAACCATATTTCTGGGGGTTAGGTATATCACTCATACCCCAACTTATGGGGATTATTACATATTATTGCCAAAGTTTCACAGTTTTGCCAGCTATAATATCTACAATGGATTTTTACAAGCTCAACTGTGTCCTTGCTTCATATTAGTCCCCAGTCCATGTCAGCCTCAACAGGTGGCATTGGCATTCTAGGCACTGGATGTGCACGTGCAAACGCCTCATGTAGTGCACCTGCGTCTGCGCATACTCTTTCTCGTCTTCCAGTTTCTTCGTCCCCCTCGGACATGAAGAACGAAACAAAACTTGAGGCTTGATGGGATTATCATGAAACTTGATTGCGTGCGTCATACACTGAGTGATGCTTGAGCCCTGTTCTATACAGGCCCAAAAACATTGGATCCACATTGCAAAAGTCTGCGCTTCAGCCAATTTAGGAACGGATCGTTCCACATGATGAACATGCATTTGGAAGGCCTCCAATCATTGGCCTAGTGGTGCTCGAGTCAGCCATCCCTTTTGGACAATCATCCTAAATATCCGCGAATCATTCCAAAATAATTTCCCTGATTCAAAAAAAAATGATACCTGCATCTTCCAATGTATGTAAAATTATTGCCTTTTCCGAAATATTGCCTGCATTTTTTGGGGTTGGCCGGTTTTGAAACGGAGAAAAAATCCAACCGGCGAGATCCGGCGAGAAGGATTGAGTATTCGAGCGATTTTGCATAGGTGTGATAATTTGGGTATATAGATGATGAATAATTCCATAACTGAACTCAAGAAGTACTCAAATCAGTCAATTCATCATCCCCAAAACAATCTCATAGCACAATCCCTTCAAAATCCAAGCTCAGAAACTCGTAGTCTTCCCCCATCATCTTCTGTGCGTTGGCAATGGTTGCTTGCAACTGCACTTTCGTCTCTCCTCGCAACCATGTACGAGCCAAAGAGCCGGCCCAGAGCCAGGCTAAGATTAGTCATTTTCAGTATGCATATATAGAGTACCATACACACATATTAATTTTCACTCTCATGACCAATGTAAATGTCATAATATGGGGTAAAAAATCATGTAATTTCTTAAATGATACAAACTGTGGGCAACTCATGTGGCCCCAACTTGCCCCCAACTCTCCTTCCCGTATGGTTTCTTTAAATCCCCTTCAACTCAACATGTCATGACTTGTTAATGAACTCTGGAAAGTTAGAAACCTGGAAATGATGTGATTTTGGGGGGACCCGGGGGCCCCAACCAAAAAGAAATCATGACTTGACGGTTGACCCCTCCAAGAGTCGTAACTTGGTGGCAGTCTGCGCTTCCGACATTTTGTGTTTGAACTTCAGCGCGAACAAAAAGGTCTCAGTCGTCAGCGAAGAAGAATGCTTCGCTCAAGTTAAGGAAGGTTGGGCTGAAATTTATGGAATTTCCATGATATTCCAGCATTTTATGGGATATCATTAAACTGGGATGTATACATAATCTGATGCGGTCTGCCCCCAAATGGCTATCTGAACGGGGAACATGATGATAATTATCATCTCCATCTTTCTCTTTCTCTCTCTCTCTCTCTCGGGTTATCATGGTTATCCCCTAAATGTTCAAACAAACTGACAAGCCCATATTCTTCAGTCACATGGCTTTGGGTTGCGATGTCGAAAACCGGTCCCATGGTTTGATGGAGCCTTGAAGGAATCCGCACGATCATCTTGTTCTTCCTCCTCCTCTTCCTCCTTCTTTTCCTGTTGCTGGCCGTGTGTTCACTGGGGGAGCTAGTGAACAAAGGGGCCCCCTTAACCCCCGTTTTACGCAGCAACGAACGTGCTCAAGCATGTGAGAACAATACACGATCTAGAGGCCATGTTTCTGCATCATGCTTGTGTATATATATATATTATATATATACATATCATATGGATAGATATATGTACAGTAATTAGGCCTCCAAACATCTTCAAACATACCATCCCACACCATGTCATGACACCCCTTCCCCGTCCCAAATGTTTTGCCACACTTCGCGGGAAATCATTCTCCCCTAATATGTTATATACTGGATGTCCTTATGTTTATTCAAAAAAACATGGCAAATTCATAGGTAACTGGACCCATCCCCATATCATTCCCGCTTGAAACCCTTCTGCTCCGCCCCATCCTCCGGCTTTGGCGGCTTTTGCTTCTGCACCAGGCCGTAGGTGCTACGCAACTCGGGATGGAGATGTGCCAGTTCCTGGCAAAGGCCGCAACGCAACGCAACGTTTTGGTTAGGGCGAAAGGACAAAAATCAACAGGAACGACGGCCCAGTTTCACCCAGTTTCTTGAAATCCAAGTTTCTGGATGTGTCTGGGACTATGAGAAAAATCGAGTGAGCCGGAACATGAGAGACATCAAGGAGAAACGGCCCGAGTTCACATGGACAACGGGAGAAAATCATGGGAAGAATGGCAACGGTTCCAAGTTCATCTTGCAGTTTAGGATGATGTTTCGCCCCACTTTTCACTGTACACCTGTGAAAAAGAAACATCCCAGCAACCCACTAATAGCCACCAGAATACAAATTCAGTGACACATGCAACTCCTTTCAGGAGAATTCTGCCTGGGTCAACTCGGCTCGAACGTCCAACTTGGCTGCCTTCTGCTTGCCTTTGGACATCAAAATACAGCTTAATGAATGGTTGGGTGTCACGGTGTGACACCGAGTGGAACAAATACGCTCAACGATGCCCCCGGGATTTGCCAAATGTTTTGATTTCACTGGGGGTATTTGCACGATAATGCCTCTGAATTATATGAGTTCCTGTCAAAATCCTTTACATCTCAGTAGTTGTTATTATCGGTTTATTTTTTTGGTTGGCCATATCGCTGTCCTGTGTTTGGTGCACATCTCTGACAAAAAACTCATGGAATAGTAAAGTGGTCTTTAACCATTGACCATGACTTATATAATACCCAGTGACTGGGGCCGGCTCAAGCAGGCTGTGGATTTCCAGAGCCAGAAACACCAGAAACCCGTCCCAAAGATGACCCCAGATCATCCATGATAAGTTACTATGATTTATCATGTATCTACTAATGGCTATCTAATGCTATCTAATGTCTTCTCACTTAGGTCGTTAGTAGGTCTAGATGCCATTGACTTCCACTTCCATTGACATCCATTGGTGCTATGGCAACTTTGATCCAAAGTTGCGTTCATTCAGAGTCAAATGGAGGTGCCGAAGCTGTTCGGTCAGTCCACGGATTTGATCCTCCTTGGTCCAAGTTTTTTGCCGGAAAAACATGCCGCGTCTGGGCAACATCTGCGTTGGCTCTAAATCGTTTCCATTCCACCATGTTTCAAGGGGAACATGTCCATGTGAATCAAATCATTTTCCGATTTCCGTGGAAAAATACTGCAAAGATCCCATATTGGCTAATATCACCATCAGCTAATATCACCACTGAAAATATGAGTTGATGGTGATATTTGTCTGAGAAGCTAAGTGATGATATCATCCAAGATCTGAAAATATCATCATCATAGTTTCTTAATATATGAGAAGCTAATATCACCAGCTAAATGTTCAAACACATATCACCAGACTATATGTTCAGAAACTATATGATGATGATACTGAAAATTAGTTTCTCATCTAACGGCCTTGATTTCCCCCCCATATTTCATCGCCAAAGAGCCGAGACAAAGGTCCAGCGATCTTCCTCCTTGGCACGGTTGTTGCTGGTAACCCTGGATGAAAGCCCCAGAATTATGGCCCTTAACAGTAATAATGGGCCTTATAATATATATAAAACTATATATATATATATAACTTATATAGTTATAAGTTTGAATTCCGTTTATACCATTTTATAACTGTCAAGGGCCACAACTGCATGCTTACCTATCACTAATATTAGGAAGCTTCCATTCACGGGTATTCATGGGATATGATATAAACATCAATGGGATAGTATATCAACAGTTCAACAATCTTATATTTTGGTCTGTCTGAAAGCATGGTATTTACATTTTGGTATAGCCAATTTCATGGGGAAAATGATGATTGGTCAGTGGGTTTAGGGGAATCCTTTTTAGACAAACCTATATTATATGGGGAAGTATCATTCATACCCCTTCATACAATTCATGCTTGGAATTTATTATAAGTATGACTAAAAACATGATAAATATTGTTAACATGGAACCTAGAAACATTGACTTTGAAAGCTTTGTTTCACAGGATCAAGATTTCTCCTGTGGAATGGTGGCTGCTCAGGTGTAAAAGAACCTTTGGTCATTCCATGGTGAATTGTGTCACGCTGAACCCATCAACAAAATCTGCAAATGATCAAGGTCTAGAATCACCATGTCTGCTAATGAGATCTAAACTCTCCTGCATGTAAAGACCCAAACTGTTGGAATCGCCATTTTAAACAACGTTTCTCCGGCCACAGCTGCAGCCAAGCTTCATCCTCGAAGTGCGAGCGGTTTGCAGTCTCGACAGCCAGCTGCGATTTGACGCCGCGCATCAAACGCATCCTAAGCCGTGAAGAATCCACAAAGTCCTGCCTCTCAGTCATGAACTATGTCATAGTCATCATAAACCCTAGGCATAATAATTGTAAGCCGACATTTCTTTTGAATTTATGTGTATCAGGATTCGAAGCCCATAGCAGCTATTTGGCAACCAACATTTGATCAAGTAGTGATCAGGCAACACTTAATCAAAATGCTGGTAGAGATTGGGTGGTTCAATAGAAAACAACATTTAGTCACACATTAAGCATCATACTACTATGCATATTGACCTAGCACCCTAGCGATCATTAGATGTAATTAGATTTATCAACGTACAGAATGCATTACATGGCAAATGCCAACCACACCCTATCCTCACCCGTAGAAGACAAAGTGGCAATGAATATGATAATAGCTGATGGTTGAGCACAAACAAAGGGTAAAAGGATTACTGGATGAGGCTGAACCAGTGACTCTAAAATCACGGGTTTCGTTCCTGACATTGGGTCTCCGGGTGCTTCAGGGACGGCTGTATGCTGGAATCTAGTGCCATGGGATGCCGATTCGCCAATTCGCCCAACAAATAGACCCACCAACAAATAGCTCAACTCGCAAACTCCAAAAAGATCGAAAAGTTGGCCTGGAAAAAATGAGAGTTTCCCATCGTCGTGGTTTCCCATCCTGGAAAAACCATGAAAAATCACCGCGATCACCGCGGCACAAATCCTGAAGATTGGCGGCATCCTGACGAGACAAGAAGAAACGGCCACTTTCCTCAGAGCCGCGCGCAAGGCTTGCGCCGCCGCTAGTGAGTTGAAAGGTGGAGCCCCATTTCACGGAGGGATCAGCATTCGCTGAAGCAACTATTAATGAAACATCAATATAAAATACAGTAATATAAACAGATAAACTATAGGAACCCACCTTGACCAGGTATGGTGAAGTATAGCCTTATTCAATCAGGATTCCATTATCATTCTCACTATGTAGCCATTACATAGCCATTACAAAGCTAGCCATTCACCATGCGGTTTACCTGACGGACCTGCCCAAATCAACTCGGAATGGCGACATGTTCCCATCATGTTTGGTGGCTAGGTTCCAAGCCTTCGAACACATCCAAAACCAATTTGGTCCATTTTGGGATCCTCATCCCAGGTAGGATTGCCTATATTTTATATTATATATATATATATATTTCAGAATTTTAATGAATTTTCCAGATCTAAACCGCAAAAAAGGACTAATTGACACTAATTGACATTAAATGACATTAAATGACATTAATTAACATTGACATTAATTGACATTAATTAACATTGACATTAATGTACATTGACATTAAAAGACATTAATTTACATTGACATTAAATGACATTAATTGACATTATCATTAATCGACATTAATCAACACTAACATTAATTGACATTAAGTTAACATTAATTAACATTAATGAACATTGACATTAAATGACATTAATTGACATGAATTGACATTAATTAACATAAACATTAATTGACATTAATTAACATTGACATTAATTATCATTAATTGACATTAATTGACATTATCATAAACTGGCATTCATTGACATTCATATTCATTGACATTAATTGACATTGACATTAGTTGACTGACATGCATATTCACTGACATTAATTAGCATTGACATTAATTGGCATTAAATGACATTAGTTGACATTAATTAACATTATCATTAATTGACATTAATTGGACATCACTTGACATTCATTGACTGTTTTTTTGCAGAGTTTTTCATTCTTTCGTTCCCTTGGCTGAGTCCGCTGTCCGAGCTTCTCCCAGGCTCATCATCTCCTTCTCCACCACGGGCATCAGGGCCCTGGGCTCGTTGCGTTGGCACTGCACTGGCTGCTGAACTGGTTGGTTTAGGCGTTGGGAAACAAACATCATACAAATATACGCAACTTACATACTATGTGTATCTATTTGTATGGCATAAATTATGGCGTTCAATAGGCTTCTATATTGAAGTTCAATTTGGTTTCCATGGAATTTCACGGGGGAAGAGCACAACTGGAGATTTGGCCAAGCAAAATGGCAATGTGACAAACCAATTTGGGTGTTACCCTTGTTACCTGGCACGAAGAGTTTGGAGAGTTTCAGTCTCGCGGTGTGGATTCCTGTACCCCAACCCATAGTGAACATTATTCCCAAATCAACCGAGTACTGGCTGAATCAAGTCATGTTGATGGATGATCGTAAATGATCAGCCTTTGCCAGTTAAAACTAACCATCAATGGGAGCTGTGGTTTTTAGATAAAAAAAGGGCCTAAGTGAATTAAGTGAATTAAGTGAATCTGATATAATCTGATTATGTGATGTTTAGTGAGTCTTTGCCCAAGTCTTGCCATCCAGGTGGCTACACAAGTGGAATTTACCGCTTTCGTAGTTTTCCACCCCCCCAAGGACATCTCAACAAGCTTCGCCCAGGGGTTGTAGTTGGAATGGGCTTGTAGCGTCTGCGCGTTGTATTCCTTGGCATAGTGCGTAGCGTCAGTGCACGGCTGGGAAGGCTAGAAAATTCATGACAATTCGCATGGCTGGGAAACCCCCTATCCATGAAGGTGTTAATCATCGATAAATGGTGGATTTTCAGTTAATTAGAGTAGGGTTCAAAATATAGGGGGCTTCCATTGCCACATTTGATTACTGGAGGGCATCTCCGTTCCTAAACGCTTTTGCAACTGAATATATGCGATGTAGCATGGGTCAAGATTCATTAAACCCTTGGTGAACACATATAGATCACATAGCTGGTAGATGGATGCTCATTCCCCCCAAGTATCATAGTTTTTTAGGTTTTGTTCCATCTCCATCTGGGGAGTTTTGGTTGGAAGATTGATCATGTCATAGCGGAAAACTCTTGCAAAATGTGTGGCTGGTTGGGTTGGGTCACGCCCCAAAATGTCTTCCCAACCAGGGATGGGCCAACAGCTCAGACCATGTGGAGGCATCATCCTACTTCTCCACATAGTGCGCGTGTATGCACATACAATGGTAAACTGGTGAGCCCAATGATAAACCATGACAATTTTACCGGAAATGGGTTGTCTGAGTCTAAACCCTCCAAAATTGGAGGCTTGCCACACCATGTAGGCCCAATGTAGGCTGTATGGCCAATAATTCACCAAGTAGTTGTACCCAAACCTACCGATCATGTGGTAGGACACCTCGTGGGGTTCGGATGGTTCTCTTCCAACCTACTTTCCACGTGGAGGTGGCGCCCTAGTGCAGCCATGCCACCCAAGCTTCTCTGCCATACTCTGCCTGGCTGATTTCCCCCCCTCTCCTGGTGGTGGATTTGATGTCGACCCACCTCTCTTGTCTGTGTTTCAGGATGTTCATATACATTTTAAAGCCTGATTGGTAAGTTTCTGAATTCATCTGGATTTATCTAAAATTGTTTCTTGCTTCCCCCCAATTTTGAAAGGAGGATAAGCACCTTTTAAAAGTTGATTGTGCATGTTGCTATATACATGAGGGTTATAGATATAGATCCAACGTTTATAATAATTTCCGACTCATGTTAACCCCATATTTATAATTGGTCGACTCATTCGTACTTAACAAATTTGCCACTATTATATAAAATGGTGTTCCACTGATCAAAAGTCCAGGGGTAAATAAAAAATCCTCGGGTTTACTATTGTCAAACATTCCCATACTCCCCATTATAATTATATATAATTATATCCTCCATCAACACTCCATTAATATCCCATTGATTCTAATGATGTTCATGAAGTAGTCAAAAAATCATTGATACCCTCTGGTAATTTAACGTAGCTATTGAACATGACCATTAATAGTGATTTTTCCCATTAAAGAAATGTGATTTTCCATTGTTATGTTAGTTTACCAGGCCGGGTATTCACAAAATCCCCCAAGAAATACACCAAAAGCTCTCCCACTCCAGTCGAGATGCTCCAATGTGCTGCACCACTTTGGAAATCTCCTGTCGCAGTTCCCTCAGCTTCTCCGTTCGCGTCACTGCGGCATCGCCTGCCGGTGTGCCCTCTGGTTGTCAAGCATTGCTATTGAAAATGGCCATAGAATGCCATAGAAATAGTTGATTGATGTTGATGGATCCCCAAAACGGTGATGGAATCCATAGTTTTTTCTATGTTTACCAGAGGATACCCTGGTGGAAACAGTTCCAGTTTGATATGGAAAATCCCCATGGGAAAATCCCAGTGTTTTGGTGGACTTCTCCGGGGTGGAGCCGTGTGTTGATACCTGTCCCCTTAAGGAAACTGGAAAGAAATCTAAAATGACACCACTGGCTAGCAGCACACGTAGGGGAATGCATATATATATATATATATATATCATATCTATATATATATGATTATATTATATCCATATATATATATATATCCATGAATTACCCGATTCTGAGAAGCTCTAATATACACAAGTGCATTTTTGTTCCTTGTCTGTCAGCTTCCAGGTCCCTACCAGACCGTGGTTAGTTGATCTTTGATGCAATCTGCAACAAATCAATGAAGTCGGGATCGGGTGCCATCTTTGACAATGGCACCAAGGAACCCTTTTCACCACTTGCAAACCACGCCACTCAACAAGAGTTGCACGTCCACCAACGAGAAATGCGGCGGGAAGTTGTACAAGTCCTCAATATCATCCTCCTTGACATTGACTTTGCAGCGGGGGGAAAAAACAATCCAGGGAAGTTTGATCCTGCAAAAAGGAGGAATGTAACATTGGTGAGCAGTTACCAGCAAAAACCTTCATAAAACCTTCATTCTACCTTAGGAATTAGAAATCTGGCCGTGGCCACACGACATGGCTAATAAATGTTCCTAGCTACATCAACCTATGGCTTCGCTAGCTTTGAACACCTGGAGAGGCCTGACTGTCCGGGGGCTCATTCAAAAGAGATATGAATGCACGCTTGATTTAATGACGACACAAACAAAAACTAAAACAGATGATGAGAAAAGCAACGGAATGATACCTGTAATGTAAGGTATAATGTAATTTTACCTGGAATGATATACCAAAATATTCATATTGTCACGGAATTCGATGGTAACTGACTTGATACTACTGGAAAATCAGCCAAAATGTGGATGGAAACTCCACACCTGATTTTGCTTCATCCGGCTTCTCATGAATAGTAGCAATCCCAAAATCAATATTTTTATATATATATAAACATGTAGCCAGTTGCCAACTTCTGGATGGAACCATTGATTCCCACATCTGTCCCTCACACTTGTGGCCCTGAACAGCTATCTATAGTTATCTGGCTTATAAGGGGGTCATTAATATCTTACAATGATATTAACATATTATAACATTACAAACCCATAGTTACAGGAATTACAACCCCATTAAGATTACTGTTATGTTGGGCCATAAAAGTGGCATACTCCGTCAGCCGTAAAGGCACCTCTGCCTGCTCCCAAGCTGCGGTTGCCTGCCAATTGATGGTTTCCCCGCAACGTTTAAACTCCTTCAATTCTTGGGGCCATAAGGGTTTTGACAGCGAGAACCTGACGTATCCAAACACCTTCGGTCAGACATGAGATGAATCAAGTCTGGGATAAACATATTAAGTCCCTAGTAATTCACCACAGATTTATCACGGCCAGTGACAATCTTTGACCCATGCAAAATATGCAAAATATGCAAACTATGCAAACTATGCAAAATATGCAAACGTTTCCCAAGATACCCAATTGGCATCAATTTGTCACAAGTTTGGTGGTTTGAACCCCTCTGTAAAATATATTAGTCAGTTGGGAGTATTATTCCCAATATATGGAAAGTCATAATCCAGCCATGTTCCAGTCACCACCAACCAGCCATTATTAACCATAATTAACCTTTACTAACCATCATTAAGCTATGGGTTTTCCTATGGTTTTCCTAAACATGTTCCAGTCACCACCAACCAGATATATTGGTATTCCAATTATTAACCATAGATTAACTATAGATTAATCATAGATTAACCATAGATTAACCATAGATTAACCATTATTAACACGAGATTAACCATAGATTAACCATAGATTAACCATTATTAACCATAGATTAACCATAGATTAACCATACATTAACCATAGATTAACCATAGATTAACCATAGATTAACCATAGATTAGCCAGATATTAACCATAGATTAACCATAGGTTAGCCAGATATTAACCATAGATTAACCATAGATTAACCATAGAATAACCATAGATTAACCATAAATTAACCATAGATTAACCATAGATTAACCATAGATTAACCATAGATTAACCATAGATTAACACGAGATTAACCATAGATTAACCATAGATTAACCATAGATTAACCATTATTAACCATAGATTAACCATAGATTAACCATAGATTAACCATTATTAAACATAGATTAACCATAGATTAACCATACATTAACCATAGATTAACCATAGATTAACCATAGATTAACCATACATTAACCATAGATTAACCATTACTAACCATAGATTAACCATAGATTAACCATAGATTAACCAAAGATTAACCATAGATTAACCATAGGGTAACCATTATTAACCATAGATTAACCATAGATTAACCATAGATTAACCATTATTAACCATAGATTAGCCATAGATTAACCATAGATTAACCATAGATTAACCATAGATTAACCAGATATTAACCAGATATTAACCATAGATTAACCATAGATTAACCATAGGGTAACCATTATTAACCATAGATTAACCATAGATTAACCATTATTAACCATAGATTAACCATAGATTAACCAACATAGATTCATCCAGTCACCAGCAACCAGTTAAAGTACACCTCCCCTCGGATTCCCAGCTGCTTCCCAGCGGTTGGCCTCCGCCTGCTGCTGTGCGTGCGCCTCAGCCTCCGCTCGCAGCTGCGCTTCCCGGGCCGCCGTGGCGTCCGCCTCCTTCGTGGCTTGGATGCCCAGGATGGCACTCACTGCGCTGCCTAATCCACGAATGGGAGAGGTGTACCCCCAGGACGGCACTAACAAACAGTTACTGTATGTTTAATGGAAGTATAATTCTTATAACACTATGTACTATGTGTATATATATATATATATACATATGTATATATATATATATATATATCATGAATTAAAACAAATCATGAATAAGCCTATTGATAGCTGGCTATAGGGCCATAAGTGTAAGAAAACATGGTGAATTTGGGGGTTGATACCATACAGTAAAGATGCCATTGGGATAAATCATCCCGATGTAACTAACCCATCTCTCATGGGACAAATATATGGGATAACCATGGGATAATCAATGGAAACATATCCATTTGGAATAGGTAAATCATCTATAAATATTGGATGGTCATGAAATGATCCTTGGGACATGGTCAATAATGGGAGAAATATTGAGATACATCTTGGGATATGTATATATATATATGTGTGTGTGTGTGTTAAAGCATGATAATGGAATAAATTGAATAAATACAAGATAAATTTTGGATGGGATAAATATGGGATGATCATTGGATCATGGGATAAATGGATTGGTTTGTAAGGGAAAATCTGAAAACCAAATTTTCCATTGTTTTTCCTATGATATTGATAACCAGGGGCTCGTGTAAAATGTCCCTGAAAAGCCACAACATTGAATCATGGGACAACATGAGATTAATATGGATAAGAATGGGATAAGAGTAATGATTGATATTTATTAAGCAACATCTAACTATCTAAGTGGATGTCGTTTACTTTTTTGGGGCATGGGGAGGCTATCCAAGTGGTATTCAATGTGTATTGAGTATATATTGTTCATATCAATCAACAAGGCTATCCTTGTAATTTGGTGATGGAAAACCAGCCATTTATGTCCATGACATGGCCATGTGAAACGTAATGCTGCTTTTTTTCGTGGATAAACATCCAAACACATGGATCTGAAGCAACGGGAGATAATTTCCCTTCTGAACTGCATGAAACATATCGTGTACCATCATTTTGTAGGAGACTTTCCCATATCTTTTTGAACCAAATCTAGGAATCAGAAAAACAATTGGGCACATCGCCATTCATGTATATATGTAAATGACATGTGTATATATATATATATATGTGTGTGTGTGTAAATTTGCCCATTGATTCTTCACTAGACTTCTCCTCCCTCAACGGAAGAAGGACATCTATTGGACGCGCAGCCTGCGGCGACGGACTCCCGGGCTTTGCCCCAAAGGGTTCCTGGACACCAAACAAAAACGATGCGCTTTGTGGCTGTTGGTGGCCGTTGAAAAAAGTGGAAACATATTTTTTTGATGTGGGAGGAAATAACTGGATCGTTGCATATCTTTTAATCATTATATAATAACGTTTGGCAAAGTTTGGATGACTTTCCTATTTATATATATATATGGCCAGTGGTTTGTACCCATCGCAACAAGCTACTGATCGCTAAAAGGTGGTGTGCCCTAGTTCTAAGTTGGTTTTTGCATGTTTATGCTACAACCCCATCCAAGTAGAGTCACCATAAACATCATAAACCCTGCGTATGTCAGTTTCCAACGAACTTAGCTAATTACGGGGCACTTGCTTGTACTGACCCTCAAAAAAAAGTGGTGCAACCCAACAGGTCTTCATGTCCATCCAGGCGCAAGTGAGTTGCACAGCTGAAACCTTCACATCATAGGATGCCCTACACAATTTCACAATGCCACATTCCTCACTCAAAATCGCCAAGCAAAAATACACCCATAAGCAGAACATGGGACGACTGCCCATTACCAAGGTTTACGCCTTTACGCGCTGCGGCGCGGGTCCTAGTTTGCTCTTGGCCTCCGCCTAGCAGGGTGCAGCAGGTGGTAGATATTCTCAATTTTGAGTTGGGAAAACAGCATGATCACCAGGTTTAGTTGTTTTCTACACGGGAGGGGTTTGAGATTGAGAAGGGGAACATCAATGAACACAATACCATTTTGGTTATGAGAAACAAAACTGCAATTGTTAACATTAATCAACCAACAGCAGTGGATCTATCCACCGATATCACTGGTACCTCGGTGGCATCTGGGCTCCAAGTTGCCTCACACCTCATGGCTAGCTGAGATGAACCAGGGATCTCAGCTATTTGCTAGTGCATCCCTAGCCCAAACAGCTGTCCGGCGGTCCTCCATTTTCGCCTCTTGGGTCTGTAGACTTTTCAGCACCTGTCAGCAACTGGAAACATGAACCTGTCGTTGATGTCTGGCTTCAAGTTGTGAAAACAAATGGAAACAGGTATCATCAAACATCAAAACAACCATATGAGCTCAACCCAAACACATCTTGAGCTCAACAAATCGGAATGTCTGAAAGACACCATCCCAAAAGGCAAAGTGTCAAAGAGCATTGGTTTGATTTTTATATTTTTGAGGGTCCAACATATTATCGTTACATTACATACCGTGCATGAGGGTTGTGTCTTACAACTCATGAAAACATGTATATACATATATACATATAAGTGCATATGTCTATGTATATATATATATGCAAACAAAGACACACACATATATATATATATATGCATACGTACGTACGTACGTACATTCATTCATGCATGCATTCATTCATTAATCCATTCATTAATTCATTCATTCATTCATTCATTACAATACATACATACATATATTTAAAATTAGCATATCGCATCCTCACTTCTCATCCGCAAAGTTCGTCATCAGCTGTCTGCACTTCTGGCACCAGGCCCAAGGTCATGGAGCTCAACAAGCCCTCAATGGTTGGTGGTTAAGGTTTGACATCAACCCTCAGGCCTTACGAGGTTCACATGTCGAGTGAAGGATCAAATCATACCCGAGCCCACCAGACCTGCTTCTTTGGTTTCGGCTTCTTTTTCAGCAGATACTTCCCCTGACGCCACCGCCGCGCAAAAAACACATGTGCCATGGGCAACTGGATGGGGCATGTTGAAGGGCCAAAGGGAAAGTCCTATTGAAATGTGGTTGATAACTTTGTCAGTTATCTAACAAATCCACATGCATTCTATTATATATATATATATACATGTGTGTGTGTCGGTGTTTCAAGCCATGTAGTGAGCAGTTGCAAAACCCATCATACAACATAACATGTGAAGAAACGTCGTAGCATCATTCCGTTGAAAAAATAAAGGATATTGAAAACCAACCCCTTATTTTGGCAAGATCCCCAGAGAAGCGCTGCTGATTGTACTAGTATCTCCCTTTCTGCTGGTCCATTCTGTCTCATGACACAACACATATATAGGTATGGACATATACATATGTAGATAAACTATCTATCCCACATATGTATATACGGCATCTATTAAGCGCGTAATATATTAAAACTTTCAAGAGCTATATCATCGATAGTCCAAATAGATTGGTTCCATCCGCAATGGGAAATTCAAGCACCAATTTGTTTAGCCTTGCCAAAATATCCCTGTATGCCTGCTCTGAATTCGGCATGTATGGTTAAAGCATGTTAAAGCATCAAACCACTCAACACTTCCCATCATTATCTTTCTTGGAGTTATACCTTGTGATGTTCCTATCATTTCCCATCTCTCTCCCTTTTCTCTTGCCCACCTCCACGCCCGTCCAAATATCTTTCAGCTCCACCTGAACCTGGGCCACGGCCATGGACCGTGAGATGACTTTTACATCTTTATCTATCAAAAATATACCACAAAAAATTGTGTGTGTGTGTTTAACCGTTGTTTCTTCCCATAGTTATGCATGCATCATTGTGTATATATATATGTGTGTGTGTGTATGTACGTATATGCTAGATTTGAACAGGCTACTGTGAGCACCCCATCGCTGTCGGAAAGAAGTGGAAAAGCCATACCATGACCCACCATGACCCACCATGACCCACCCGACAGCGGTTGTCATCGGTTGTCCAAGTGATCCAAGTGGCAGTGAGGTCGTTGAGCTCTTTACAAACGGCTTGTTGTTGCAACAAGGAGCTAGTCACGCTAAAGTCCTGGGAGATTGTTGGTGGAATCCAGCAGTGGCGAACTACCCAGGAATCCTAAGTAGGTGGAAAATCCCTGGTTTTGTTAGTGGGATAAGTAGGCTTAATCCAGTTATAACTAGGGTTTTGAATCTAAGCTACTTCCTAAATTTGTTGCATGAGTTTCTAGAAAGCCATCACTCCATATAACTCCTATAACCATATAATATGGTTACCTGGTTACACATGATTCTAATCTTACATATCATGGAATCAGCCCATAAATCCATGTGTTCGTTGGGCCAGACTGCCACGGCGTTGGCGCATCGTCCTCCAATTCCGACCAGGACTTGGTTCGGTGCATGACGACCTCAGGATCGAAGAGGATGCCTGGAACGCTACAGTTATGGACCAACAAAGTTGTTTTTATGGCTGATTTCATAATATGTATAACCATAATATACCATAGTTATAGGCTACAGGAGTTATGGTTTTCCATTGAAAACTGTTAGGGCCACAACTGTGGATGTTGGTTGTGTCAATTCCAAACGACCAATACCCTCTTCCAATTTAACGGAAGCATTTTTGGAGAGGAAAGAAACGTATTTGTTGATAAATGGAAAATACACATTTTATAGCTCTGGAAAACAAGCTATACACTTATACATATATAACTATGAAAAAACAGGTATTATAGGTAGGTAATACATCGGCAAACGGGTCATGTTCAATAGCTATGGATTTACCAGAGAGTATGGTCACTGTAAATGTTCAAGAACTTCCCGGGGTCAAAGTTTAAGGGTCACTGTTTTCTTATCTGCAGCTCTGTTGCCAAATAACTATTACAACATCTATCCAGTAATTCCCTGCGATCCAGAAAACGCCCCTCCAATTATCACAAACAAGAATTACTACATTGCAGGGCATCTAATATCACTATTAATATTAATAATACGTCAGAATAAAGTTGATTTAATACTCACTACCCTCTGGTAATTTAACATAGCTATTGAAAATGACCATTTATAGTGAGTTTTCCCATTAAAAATGGTGATTTTCCATAGCTATGTTAAATTACCAGAGGGTAACTATATAGGGTATCCACGTATAGGTTACATCAGTTACATCGTAAAATCCACATCTTTCACAGTCTCATCCTGCTGCGACGAGTTGCAAAGCGCCCAGGCATCAACGAGTTGACCTGGGCCGATGGCTGAACGAAGGGCACCAAATTCAAAGTTGCGTTTTTGTTTGTAGTGACTAATGATTACATGAGTTATCCACTAGTTATGTATGCACACTAATGTATATGTATAATGATGTGTATATATATAATATATATATATGATGTTATTCTTATTTTAGATTACATATATATGTGTACACTATACGCATGCCCACTCGACATCATCAGCATGGGCAAGCTGGCCCAAGCATCAAGACTTCGAGGCCATCATCGATCCATCTACCGACGTTTTTTTGCCTTACCATCCCATATTGATGCATGGACAATTTGTGTATGACCTACCATCTGGTTATGATTAACATAGCCATGGAAAATCACCATTTTTAATAGGTAAACCATCTATAAATGGGCCATTTTCCATGGCTATGTTAAATAACCAGAAGGTATAGCATCTATAGCCAGAACTTGTCATGCCTCCATCCTCTCTGTCCAAGACACGCGTTGCGAAATGTTGGTGGCTTTCCGAAGCTTCCGACGTTCCAAGACGCGACTCTTCATCAACATGCGCAGCAACAATTCCTGGGGAAAGCGCTTGCAATCATCGGAAATCATTGGAATATATTGGAATCTAATCCTGGGCAAGGCTCCAATGTCCTATCGTAAACCTCAAACTTGATCATGTCTAGAGTTTCCACAGTTGTTTGGGATGGATAGGAGCCGAAAGCCAAATTCCAAGACTTTGCCCAAGCACACAGCATGTAAATCGGCAGGTAGGTGCAGCATGGTCGCTATGCTAACAATTAATAAACATGGGGGTAGCATGGGTACGGGTCAAAATTGGGGGTTCCTAAAATTAGAGGGTACCCCCTAAATCATCCATTTTGATATGATATTCCATGAAATAAACCATCCAGCTATTGGGGATCCCCCATTTATGGAAACCCCCAAACAAAATCGATGGGGACGCTGTACATATAAAATCATAGAAACCAGTTGAAACGTAAATATGGAGGTTTCCTACAATGGGGGTACCCCCAAATCATCCAAATTAGACCCTTTTAGTATTGAAACCTATGCGTGTGGGGATCTCCCATTTTCAGAACCACCCCTTTTTTGTGTTTAACTAACTACTTCTTGGAATTCACCACAGATATCCCAAGCACCAAAAAAAAGGCTAAGAATAAGGGCTTTCATGCCAAAGATATCCAAAGATAACCCCCAAGATATCAAGGGTTAAAAAAACACCAACAATCACGTTCAAGAAAGGGCAATTGCCCGAGGAGCATAAGCTTTCTGCTCTCTAACCTTCTGCTCCTGCGCCAGGATTTGCAAGTCGTCCAAATGCCTCCGTGGATCATGACCGAAAAAGGCCGAAAAATGAGTTGCTTGGGGGATTGGTTGAAGGGACATGTTGCAGGAAACCATGAGATATCATGAGATTGACCACATTTACATCAATCTACCATCCAAAACGCTATGTTCTGCAGATTCTGTCCACCAAGTCTGGATATAGGAGAGATTCTGCAGAACTACTTGGTCAAGATTCCCTCAGGAACTTCCAATTTAAACCGTTTGCGACAAAGGCATGGATTCAGCTTATCCAAAAGAGAACATCCTACTCCAATGTATTCAGAAATTCAGGCATGTCAATGCATGTCATGTCTTTTTCCAATGCATTTACATTTCAGGCGGTTCCTTGGGGGAGTTAGATTACAGTTGAAAAAACATGCAACGTGATCAAAGTGGACAGGCGCCCGTTTGTTGCAACCGAAGATGTTGAGTTTGTTGCAACTCTGGTTGTCCAAACTGGCAATGGGACCTATGGACCTATGGATGATATTTTTTACAGTCAATGAATCATAAGCTGGTTTCAATGCGACATACCGACCAAAAAATAAATTCAAACAGATTAATGATATTCTCGAATTTCTCACGGCAGAGATCAAACATTGTTTAACATGCTATAAGAATAGAGAACTGATTGAAACACGGTCACCCAGGCGTCTTTTTCCCTTGGGATCTTTCAAACAGCGCACTGTCGAAAAGCGGCCAAACATCGGACGAGACGCTGTCGAGCGTGACCCAGCAGCGTCATGATTTGCTCTTCCATGTGGGCTTAGTGCGGCGAGTGGAGGACCCAGCATCTTTCTGGGATGTTACGGTGAGGTTGTTGTGAGGTCGCGGAAAATTTCCCGGATGAAATTATGCATAAGAATTATTGTTATTACATGTTATTACATGTTATTACAGATGTATATATACAAATCATATACACATATATGTACATATACGCCGGATTTCAATACTCCTTTTTTGATTGTAAAACTGGTATTAAAAACCGGACTTGCCAATGAACGTCCTTGTAGAAGTACATCACGTTGTATCACAGAATGTACTCCCTCATCTCTGCCAATATATCTATGAGAACAGCGTAGTTGTTGGGTTTTTGTTGGTAGGTCATACTCATTTTTCTTGCTGAAAATTTCCCGTGCTTGTTTGGACTTGTGTCCACTCCATTCGAATGGTTTGCAGGCACAACCTTTTCGGCTGTTTGCATGCGCAGTATCGGTGCTTCCTCAGCTCATGCTAGTGGTTAGTACCTATTTCTTGCCCCATGGGAATAACGGTTGCACCCATTTTGAGCCCGGAGCCCCTTCACTGGTGATTTGTGTCCCGTACTTTGTGGAATGTTTGGTTTCCTGGGCGGGACCTTCGAAAGGTAAAGCCTCCAAGGCTTTCTTCGCCATTTGCTTCAAACCATCTAAATCACACTATATTATATTCATTTATATTATATATACAAATATAAAATTTAATAAATTACAACAACTGAATCTAAAAATTCAAATCCTATAAAATCCTCCCAATCCCCAAACCACGGAACAGTCGCAAAAACCTAGGGATCACCCCGGGCCTCCCATGGCCTTCCATGGCCTCCGTTGCCGAGGCGCTACTCCGCTTGGTGCTCCACGAGGAGCGCCGCGCGGAGGGCGTGGCTGTCATGGCCATGGCCATCGGGGAGGCGCTGGCCGACTTCAGCGGCGACTGGGTCTGGCGGAGATGGGGTGAGGCTAGAGATGTGGATGCCATCTGTAGAACTTAGAGAAAAACAAGAGATAGAAACAGAGAGAGAGAGAGAGAACAATATATATATATATATATATAGATAGATAGATAGATATGTGCCCCCAAGTATGCATGGGGCCTGAAATTAAAAATATCAACAGATTAAAATGCTGATCTAGGGTTTCTGGGCTGTGTTTATGAGGTAAAGGGATTCAAACACTATCAAGCACTGGAGGACGAATTTCTGTTGATTTTTCGGGCTGGAGTAAGTGATTAAGGCAAAGGTCCCATGACTAAAAACGTCGTTTTTAGCACTGATTCCGTGAATGATCCCATTCCAGGGGTTCACCAACTTCCACCAAACATCGCAGACTGTTTGAATGCAGATTGCCCTGACCCGCGCCTGCAAGCGGCTCTTGCGGCTGCGGTCGGAGATTGGTAAACCACCTCAGCTCTTGATAGAACCTGAAACCAAATTACCCTCTGTTTAATCAACATAGCTACGGAAAATGGCCCATTTGCAGATAATTTTCCCATTAAAACCTCTATTTATAATGGATTTTCCTGTTCGCTAAGTTAAATAACCAGGTGGTAACTATATAACCAAATGGGGTATCATAGGGTATCAAATCTGGACTGTGAATCCACCAACTTATCATGCGTCGGACTGTTACATGAACGATGTACCCATCCAACGTCTGATTTACCAGCCAACATAGCCAGCAGAAACTGGCGTGACTAGGCCAACAAAAAATATATCTATCTATCTATCTATCTACCTACCTACCTACCTACCTATCTAATCTGTCTAATCTATCTAATCTATCTAATCTATCAAATCTATCTATCGAGTTATCTAATCTATCAAAACTATCTAATCGATCTAATCTATAAACTGTATCTAATCTGTCAAATCTATCTAATCTATAAAAACTATCTAAGCTATATAATCTATCAAATCTATCTACCTATCTAATCTATCAAATCTATCTAATCTATCAAATCTATCTATCGAGCTATCTAATCTATCAAAACTATCTAATCGATCTAATCTATAAACTGTATCTAATCTATCAGATCTATCAAATCTATCTAATCTATTTAAAACTATCTAAGCTATATAATCTATCAAATCTATCTAACCCATAAAAATCTATCTAATCTATCTAGTCTATCTATTCATTCATGATATGCGTGCCCAAGATCGTCATATACCAGCCCAAACAAATGAAATTAATACATAACACACGCATACTTATAGTTTATATCTACATATCTACAGTATGTATATATATATACATATGTATATGTGCATGCCTGTACATATGCACATACACAATCACACACAAAACCCTATACATATATATATATATAAACATGTAAATAATAAATACCTATATAAGGACCCCAAAGAATATTCATCTCATTTCATCTATGAAAAACCGAGACACTCACCGGTGGAGGTTCCACTTCCTTCTCGGCCTCTCGCTCACGCCTGGGTGAAATGACCGGAGTGCTTGGGGTAAACCCAAAAGGAATGATCCAACAATGGCTGGTTGGTGGTTTAAAAAACATATTGAAAAATATGAGTCAGTTGGGATGATGAAATATTCAATATATGTAAAAATAATGTTCCAAACCACCAGACAAATGGACAATGCCAATCCTTTACTAGGTCGATTTTGGCCGTGCCAAAACACCATAACAACTATCACCCATAGATACCCAGCTGACAATCCTCGACAAGGATGCTGAGCATGGAACAATGGAACAAATTCTGACACCTGCCAATCAAATCAGAGGATATCATATTTATATATTTACATGGTCAATCTTCGATGGCCCACAAAAGTAATCCTTGGCTGGGTAATGTGGGTAAAATAATAGTGAACCACCTGTTTGGGAATGGTAAACATACCACCTATAAAAATGGTGATGACTGGGGGATGGTTTATGGCATTGTTTTACCCACATTATTATGTATTTCCATGGTAAAATCTATAGCAAAACATTAAGGATTCAACTAGCCATCCAGTCGCCAGTCGGATGCATCGGGCCTCATCTCGATTTGAGCTTCGAGGCGTTTGCCATGACCTTAACCAGGGGAGACATCGCCTGTAAACCCAAGCACTTCACTCAAATCCAACACATATTAATATTATATACTTATTTATATACGTATTTAATCTTATTTATATACTTAATATATGATCTTAATATATGAGTATTATCGGACTTTATGTCGATCCATCCGTCATTCCACTCCACTCCATACTGATCCAATCTGTATATTTATATAGCCAATCCACATCCAAATGGACTTAATTAATGTGAACCACAACTGATTACACAATACAACATGTTCCCAACAGAAAAAGAAAAACAACACATAAAATACGAACAAACTGATCTTCCAAAGCCATCCTGCTCCGGTTTCGTAGATGGGGGGGCATGCCCGTAGACACCTACCTCCCAGCCATCATGAGACTGCATGGAAGGGATCCCAGAATGATGTGCCGTAAATTCGGAAAAGTTCTGATTGGCCAAAAGCCAATCAAAAACCTGAAGTTCTATCTAAATTGCACAACGGATCACAACTAAACGAACTACTCTACACTGGTGATCCCTCTCCAAGGAACTCTCGTGCGCCTCCCTCTTGCAAGCTTCCTTTGTCTCTAGGAGACGCTGGGCCCACCTGAGCCAGGCTGCAGATTAGCCATGTCAGGGTCCATTTCACTGGCAGGCCATCATGTGGAACGGAGATGGAACATAGATAGTGCTTCAAACTTCAATCCTTGAAACCACCAGGCAAAGAAGGGGAGGCAATAATCTCCATGCAGAAAACAATGATCAGGAGAGCGTTTCATGGTGAATCTTGGTTTCCCAGGAGGAGAAAGCACACATCAAACATGTCAGCTGCGCCAAGCATTGATGCACGTTCACCAATGCCATCTCAATCTACCTTTCACATCCTTAAAAACTAGCCGCTTTGCCAATAATTGGTGGATAAATATGGTTGTGTCTGAAAATTGGGGCACATCTCCAATTATCTATATATATATATATATAGCATTTGTTTGGAGGATAGTGATGATTAATCATTGGGTTTTTGTTGGCTATTTAGGGTATACAAACCCATAAAATCCCATAAGTATGCAATATATCTGCTCTTGGTTGAACTCCCCAGTGATCGTCGCACCTCTTCCGCTCCTCGGCCTGTTTCTGAAAGGCCTGCTTCACTTTGTAGTAGCCATAGTGTCCTACCACCGGAACAGAGAAGGCAGCAAGCGAAACCTCCCCAGCTGAAGAAAACAGTAAAAATGCCGACAAGTTGCAATCACGCAAATTCATTCCTCCGAATTTATTTAGTTCAAAATGCAACATTGAAATTCTGTTCATGTCTGATCATGGCTGTGGCGAGTGTATGTTCAACAGCCCTTCCAAACGGGACCTTCTTCTTGATACTGCCTGACTGAGTGGAAAAGGGGTGACACATGGTGACCAAGTTGGGCTCAGAAGTGCAGACTCTGCACATCTGCAAAAAAACTTAAATATGTCTAGCTCTGGAACATAGGTTGTTTACCAAGTCAAGTGAATTTCCATAGCTATAAATTATATATTTATATTATAGCTGTATATAATACATATATATATATACACTTCTAAATTAGAAACACTTGCAAACCGATAAATCTCATTAAATCTCCGTGGAGGTGTTCCTAATCACATGTAATTCCGTGGAATTCCATCAACATTTTGGGTCACCCCTTGAAGCCAAGCCCATCATGTCAGCCAGGAACTTCAACAAGAACTCTTCAAACTCATCGGCAGCTTTGCGCATCTTGTCGAACAACCTGTGTCCAGTGGAAGTTTCGCCGCGGCACATCGCTGTTTCAATGGGGGCCAAAACATGTGACTGTGTGACCGTGTGACCAAAACAACTGGCTGAATCTCAGGTCAGATAGGTCAGTTTTTCTCTGATCTTCATTGATCTTCTATGTCTTTGACCAAATCTCTGTTGGATGTGACCTTGGTATCCTTGAATATCCTTGATAGATCCTTGCTGAAGAGCACAGCATTCAAGCGGCCGCCTCGCGAAGGTCATGGCAGCCGTTAAGAGGCGGCTGGTGAGAAATTCTTCGGCCTCGATCCCACGGGATGATTCGAGGCCATTTTTGGCGTAGCGAAAATGTGAGACTCGGCCTGGTGAACATACAAAAAGCTATTAAACATGGTCATTTTTCATGGATTTTCTCATTAAACATGGTGATTTTCCATAGAAAGTTGATGAATACCCCATTAGTATCATTAATTAATAGCATGGTGATTTTCAAGGTTATGGGACAGTTGACCAGAGGGTAATCCATGATAATCTGCTACAGTATGAGTATTGGACAGTCCCGACCAACCAGCTTTACGATTGCCCAGGGTGGACCATACAAGCTGCGAGGATTTCGACCGGGCGACTTCGATATTGGAAATCCAAAGGAGCTTCCGAATCTCCTGGTGCCGGGGGGGATTTATGGGGGAAAATCATGAGTTGTTTTTGTTTTTTTATTGTTATCCGTGCAAACCTTTTGGTACAGCATGAACCTATAGTTAAAAAGGCCGCCGTGGATGATTACGCTTGATTGAAATACATACACAAGTGATGATACGATCTTTTGCGGTGATGTAGGGGGCACAGAGGGTCCCAAAACAACGCGGACATCAACTATCTTCGGCCCTGAATGGCTCCCCATATGAGCAACTAACATCAGTACAGCTGGTTCTTGGTTATGTTTTTTTGGGGGGTGGCCTCACCATCTCATCATCGCAATTTCAGTTCGCAAGTGACGTTGCCATCATTACCATCATGCTGTGCATGGCCACCGGCCATGTGTTAACGAGTCTACATCTGCCATTCCAGGCTCTTTGAAAAAGCCCTCATACTTCATGATGCCATGAGCACAGCCCCCAGTAGAAACATGACGATGTCTGTCAGAGATATTGAGAGATGGTCATGATTGGATTTCACATGGACATGTCAGAGGACTTTCCAAGTCATTTGATTCTAGAAGGACCTAAAAAACACGTTTTGACCCTTGAAGCACACAACATCCTCATGATACGAAAATTATATAATCCATTGATTGGTTCTGACAAAAAACAACTCACTCTCTTAGCCCATTCAAAATTCATGTTTTCCAGCTACCAGTAGCATGATCATCAGGCGAAACAAAACAAACTATAACCTGCCAAAACTTGTGCGACTTACCTTAACAATCGTTGCTGAACATGGTTCACATTAGACAATCCCATCTTATATTCCCTCTAGTGTGTATACAAACATGTTCTTGTTCATATGTGTATCAAATTCCTATCATATTCCTATCACATTCCTAATTATATTCCTATCATATTCCTAATTATATTCCTATCATATTCCTAATTATATTCCTATCATATTCCTAATTATATTCCTATCATATTCCTATCATATCCCTAATTATATTCCTATCATATTCCTATCATATTCCTAATTATATTCCTATCATATTCCTATCATATTCCTAATTATATTCCTATCATATTCCTATCATATTCCTATCATATTCCTAATTATATTCCTATCATATTCCTATCACATTCCTATTATATTTCTCTCATATTCCTATCACATCCCTATTATATTTCTCTCATATTCCTATCACATTCCTATTATATTTCTCTCATATTTCTATCATACTCGTATGTATAGTACATGACATCGCCACGCCTGTTTCTGGTTGATGAACTCCTCCACCAGCTCCGTGACCTCCATGTCCTGACCAGGAGGGGTACCATGGGATACCTAGCAAAAAATATCTATGATACATGTAGATAAAATAGATATGTATAATATATATATATATATCATGGTTTATTTCATGGAAAATCCTATGGTTAAGTGGATGATTTTTTTTGGGCCCCCCCATGGATTGGAAACCTTAATGTATGTATATATATATATATGTAATACCATAATCATAATCATAGCTATCTGATATGTGCTTCCATCTGTTCCACTGCAGAAAACCGGTAGCCCGAATTCGAAGTTGTCGACCCATACGGAACACCAACTGCCAAGGTACGCTTTCGCCCATCGCCTGCAACCACGCCATGTAGTTGAAGCTCTTGGCTTCCTCCGACAGGGCCTGCGCTGTCGTCATGGTCATGAGGGTCGTGGACCACGAAAAACGATGGTTCAACGGTGCATTGATCCACAGAAATGGTGATGTTACTATAGAAATGTGGATTTGATCTAAAGAAACCTAGCATTTTATGGAGAACATATGGAAATTTCATAGTAACAAGTGATGTTAGATGATTTTAACACACACACACACATATATATATATATATTATAAATATAATATATTGAAACATACAGTAGGGTTTACCAGAAATGCGCCTTTGGTTCGTTCTTGGAATATCATGTGTCTCCAACCAGAGAAGAATGAGAATTGAGATTGAGAATTTACGAGCACCCTACTGGAGAAAGTCACCACCAAACAATTTAATGGAGTTATATCTGCGCAAACCTAGGTCAACTGGGCCTTGTGTATATAACTAGGGCCCATCTTTAATGATGAAGTTAGAACCTGCAGGCACCCGAACCATCCTGAACCCTGAATCAAAGCCGCTTCTTGCTTGTGGTAGGTCTATATCGCTTGCAATGAATATCTTGATTAGGATCCACTGACCAACTATTGATGTACAGATTCAGATTGGGAAGAAATCGAACACTTCCTGCACCAACGCAGGCCCCAGGGTCGGATCATGTCGGATCCTTTCCGAATCACCGCAGGCCACTGCAGTCAAGAAACGGCCAAAAGACTGAAGACACGCTCCATGATTCGGTTGGTCTTCTGTTCCTTGGATGCTCCCAAGCTGCAAAAATTTCGCCCGGTTTCGACACACAAGTTCAATTCACCTACGAAAAGTCGATGCAGAATGCTATATATTTCGTGGCTCATCCCATTTCTGCTCTTCCCCTACAAAATGTATAAGTGGATTAAGATGGATTAAGATGAATTAAGATGGATGAAGCCATATGAATCCTACTTTATTTTGCTATACTATGCTATACTAATATAGGCCTCTGATCCTTGAACTTCTCATAGAAAGCACAAATGTCGCCAAAGGCAGCGGATCAAACCGCTTTGTGAGGGATTGGGGTGAACTTCTTGCTATGTTTCTTTCATGTCGTATATTGTGTTCTTATTTATGTATATATATATATTTAAAAAACAAAAACACATATATATATATATATATAAAAAGGATACCACAACTGACGTGTCTACTCATTGCAATTAATGTGATTTCATGTCATGATCCAACGACACCTTTCCTCGGGTACAGATCAGATTTAGCGGATCTTCGCCGCTTTAGCCGCTTCGAAAACGCCGCCCGGGGGCATCCTCATCTGGAGCTAAGCCAACTCCAATCACCTCTCGAAACGATTGGGGCAACGTCCCATCGGGTCCCGGTTCCACCGGGAACATCTTGGCATTCAATCCCTGTGAGCCAAATATATCCCCAAAACTCAGATGGTTGTTACAAAACATGAAAAATCCCATAATATACCCTCTGGTAAGCTGTCCCATAACTATAGAAAATCACCATTTTCAATGGGTAAAAATTGCCATTTTCAATAGTTTTTTGTATGTTTACCAGAGGGTAGTGGTCTCCCCCGTGCTGTGGTTTCGCACACCTTGCCCGTCAGGATGTCGAAGTCATGGTCCCCCTCGTCGTCCAGGACCTTTAACACGCCATCGATCAGGAGTTCCATCTCACACCTTTAACACGCGTGTCATGGGAAAAATCCAAGCAATGGTTATAACGGGATATTAATTGAACAATTGTGTATATATATATATACACATATATATATATACATATATATATATACCTGCGTCTTCCAATGTATGCAAATTTATTGCCTTTTCAGGAATTATTGCTGGCGGCATGTTTTTCTGCCCCCAAACAGATTTTGCAGATTTCTCATGTTGCATGCGTTTGCCGGTTTTGAAACGGCGAAAAACTCAACGAAACGGCGAAAAAAACCGACGAAACGGCGAAAAAAATTAGACTACCGGCGATAATTATTGCTGTTTCGGATTTCGAGCGATAATTTTGCACAGGTGGGTTATCCAGGTATATGTGTATGTTCAATCTTGCCTGTGGCATACAATATTCCAATGATTTAATTGGATTTCGAAGCAATTGATGACCATTTATGATCAAATTGGATATATATATATAATATATATATATATATATAAACGTGTTTAATGGATTGTTTTATGCTTGTTGAATGGTTTAACCAACAACTTTATGGGCATTTACTGAGATGGCATGGAGATGTAACCAGCATGAATGGGATTTTGATCTGGGATCGGGAATGTGTAGAGCGTAGAGCAAGAATAAAAACACATTACAGAATATTACAGACAGATATGGTTTATGAAGAAATCATTGCAGAATCGTAGATCTTAAACTCCCAGTCAGTGGTCCCAGTAGTTGCCATGGGATTTTCCACCCGATTTCAGCCACAAATCAGGAAGCTACCTGCAGCCACCTCGAAATCTTGTGGAGCTACATGGAGCTACTTCCGGTTTTAATGGTTCATAATGGTTCTATGTCATTCTATATGTTTTGAAACTGATGTTTCCTTGCCAGCAAACCACTCACCTGTCGAATGATGGTGGGCTGCGTCAATTTTTACGGATCGAAACGGTCACCAATGTCACCAACATTCAAACTCATTTTCTTACTGGTGCTAAACGTAGGGAATGGATGGGTTGCTGGGGGTTGCTGGGATTATTAAAATTGATAGTTAGCCACTGGATCATTCCCAAAAATTCCCTACGTTTAGCACAAGTAAGTCATGTTATTCTCATACATTCCCCGTGATAAACCCATATATTCCCCATAAATGGAGATGGTTTTGGGGGCCATCTACCGACCTTCTGCAGCCTTCAGCCAGATTCAGCCAGGGCTCACGATGGATTCCATTCGACCATGGATGGTGTAAGCCTCCATGGCTTCTTTGAACAAGTCCTCGTAGAAAGGGTCCGGCACTTCATCCAAACCATTGAGCCTTAGTATCATGCCACGAAAGGAATAATGCAAAAAAAAACATGGAAAACAAACGGACATCATATTTATATACAGTACACACACAGATATATATATATATATAAATACATCCCAGGTCCCATGAAATCACATGTGTACAAAGATAAATGTTGCAACGTTAATAGTCCGATACGTTGCGTGCCCATGCCAAACATGCCATGCCGGTGCCACCCATGGGACTCCCGGGAGTGTTCCTCCAATATTTTAACAACAAAAAAAGGTGATATCAAGTGATGAATGATGCCAAATCTCGCCAAAACATTGATGGTTTATAGATGTTTTATCTGGTTTTATCGTCTTTGCTTCATGACGCTCCATGTCTGTTTGGTGATGTCATTTCCACCTTCTCGGCAGTGAGGCGATCAGTGAAAATGTCTGGTGAACATTCCCCCATTGTTGCGCCGGGAAAAAGAAGAACCAAATCACCGACTCGTTGCAAAGGCTGAGTCAAATATGTCGTTGGTTTTTAGGTAAAAAAAAACATACAGTTTACATATCCCAGTACATTCCCCATTATATCCCCTTCAATGATCTTCAATGCTTGGTTCTCCCCCATTATATCTTGGTAAATCCGCCTAAATGGTTGGTTCCATTATTATTCGCAATTGAACCACCATTAAAAAAAACTATTTTATAACCATTGGCAATGGACAATCCGCCAATTATATTATAGATGAATGTTACATAAACACCTCAATTTTTGATGGGGGATTTCCCATTGCTGCCTGATTAATTACTTATACTGGAGTTTAATCCAATTCAAACCCCAGTGAAACATCAATATGGTTGGCTATACCCTCCAGTATTATCTCCAGCATACATTCCCAACTATCTATGGTTTGTATCCCAAAAAATCCCAAGATTCATGTGAGTACTACGGTGGATGGTTGCGAAATCCTGCATCACCTTGGGTAGTTGAAACCCTATAAATCATGGGATCTTTACCACCTATCAACAGGATTTCCACCGTATCCCATTGCCATAACATTCATAACATTCCGACCCACAACGGTGCTACCACGTCTCTCACTTGTCTCGACCACTTCCAATGCTGTTTTGAAGCGCCGCGCCACTGTGGGAGCCATTACTGTGCTGACCCCAACCTGCGGACGTTTACATCGCCGGTTGCAGGTTGGTTTAACCAACAGAAATGGTGATTTCATTGGTCTTTACGGGTTTTCAAAAACCACATTTTGGACAACATGATGGTGAATTATTTCTACATATATATATATATATATATGATATGTTGTGGGATATGGATATGGGGCTGTACAGGGATTCATGATGTTGTTGGTGCCCCAGTTCGTTAGCGAACTTGGAAAACATCGCCCCACTTTCGCAAGTGGGTTGAAACAGGTATAGAATAAAATCCAATCATGGCCAATGGATGTTAATGGTGGCTATAAACTAACTCATGACTGGGGGACATCATCTTGTGAAATCCTATTTTTTAATACATGGTTTGTGTACGGGGTTGTATTATGTTGTATATACAATCCCTCCCAACCAGCATCACTTGGCTAAACTCCTGATCATCAAAGTCCAACTTCGACCTAAGCAGAAATCACCTTCCATAAAATAACGTGGCAATCACAAATCAGCCATTTGCAGATGGTTCACCGGTCAAAAGCCCTTATTTTCTGCTGCCAGTTTCGGTTTGCTGATGCTTAGCCTCATTTTGTTCGGGGAGCATTTCCGCCATCATATCGGTGGTCCTAAAAGTTGGTTTCTAAAATTGGCGACCACCAAAGAAAAACCTAACAAAATGATATGTTCAAAATTCCAAAACTAGTGACCTTAATGTTGCATTTCACCCTTCAGGTGCTACAAGCACAGTCAATGCTACAAGTAAATCTGGGTTCCTGCTATGTTACTGCTTGTTTTTTCATAAGGTAATTTCTGTTGGGGAGAAAGACTCAATTTTGGGACAAACCCACATCATACTGATCCTGTTGGTTATTTACTCTATTTCCCATTTATACTCCCTCTCATCTTCCAGTCACCTGTCTGTTAGGGGAACCAACCCCAAAATCATACAGTCAAATTACCTTATAACTTATAAACACCTATCTCAGAGGTACTTGAAAGGTCAGGGCCCGTAAAGTCCCCTTGGAATCCATAAGCCAAGATAGATGTGGAAAATCCCACCATTTGTAGACCATTTCCATAGAGAAACCATGGGCTTTGAACATCGATGAAAGTTTGCCCTCGGGAATTCCTAGGGTACACCTTAATGGGTGGTTTCCTAAAATAGAGGTACCCCAAATCCTCCAAACTTAGACCATTTTGTACAGAAACTCATGGTTTTAGTTTTGGTTTTGGGTTTTGGGGTACCCCCATTTTAGGAAACCCCCAATGATTGCGGAGGAAGAGTCCCTCAACCACTTAAAGTGATGCTTGGTCACTATTTCCCGCCTCAGTAAGCTCCAAGGAAGCATGGTATAGCATCAGCATCTGACGATCTAAGGGTGTTTCCTGGGGGATGTCACGGGGATGTTAAACTACCGAACTATACAGAACTTGAATTTGCAAACATGGCACTCTGGTAGTCATTGCCATGGCTGGCTGGAAAAGCCCTTATAAATGAGCATTTTTTTGGAGGGAAGTCATCAATAAATGGTGGATTTTCCACTGCCATCTTTGATGAAACCAGAAGGTTTCTATGGATTTTTTTGACCAACAAAAACTGGGTGGAGTTATTGCCATAATGAAGAAATGTAAAGAATAAGGATATACTATGATATACTTAGGATATGAATGGAACGTGTTGATGGCCATGTGACTTGGGATATCTCATGAAGTATTAAATCAACAATATGATATGGGAGCCTCGGGAGGAAAAAAGTTTAAACAAATGATATGCATCATTGGAGTGTGTTTTTTGACAAACCCTTTTCATTGGGATGTTAAACAACAAAACTTGGGGCTAAAATCTGACTTGCAACCCAAAATCCCCTTATGAAGAAAATTAAGTTTGAATGCAGTAAACGTGGGCTCCAGCTGCAAGCTTTCCGAAGGGCTGAATCAGTCCAGGCATGACTCATGGTTGAAACTCACGAGGGACTAAAACATGCAATGATATCCGATGACTACTTGGGTAATGCAGTGATCTTGGATAGACCACATGGTCACCCATCATATCTATCATATTATATTCCTACATGTTTTGGTAATACATAGAATCATTCGAATGTGTTCACCAAGCATTCACCAAGCATTCACCGGTTGAAGGCTATGGACCCAACATGACCCTTCACTTCGCTTCCAAGTTTCTGGCTCCAACAGTGGTTCACTCGCTTCAATGAGCGAAGTGAAGGGCTTGAACCCCGCGTAGGACTGGCACGTGGCACGGAATCAGTGGGAGATGGGATGCCCTGGCAGCGCTATGACCCTTGGGACCCCCAACAAATTGTCTGGTTGGTGATTGATAGTGATTCATGATGGTTAATTATCTGGTTAATTATCTGGATGGTGGTTTCAACCTACCCCTCTGAAAAATGGAGTTAAAGCTAGTTGGGATTATGACATTCCAAACATATGGAAATTCATACAATTCCATATATTAACCATGTATTTCCGTATGTTAACCATATATTTATGATTAACCAATATTAACAATGTTCCGAACCACCAACCAGTTGTTGTAATTTTGCGCTGAGTGTAGGTCCGGCGCGTTGGGCATTGGCGGCCCATGGCAAACTCCCGTGCCGACCTGGGTGGAACAGGACCACTTTCGGATGGTCTGGGCTTGTTTGACCAGTTGCCGCTCCTGGACATGGCAGGTGAGCCTGCACAAATGCCATGCTTTCTGAAAGCTGGGATTCTAAGATTTTCAAGTGATAAATGATTTTCAATGCGGAGGTATGCTGAGGCTTTTTTCCTAGCAATCTAGGATTCCGACACAACTCATTAGGAGCTGTTCCATCAATCGTCTAGACACCAACTGCTCCGCAGCATCTGTCCTCATCGTCGCTGTCGGATTTGGGCGACAATGATCTTGGTGTCTCGAATGACGGCGTTTTGGCCTTGAAATCCGATAGCTGATGGGCACTTCTTGCCCTCAACATGTCTGGGGCAGCAATTTTATGGATGGTTAACATATTGACCTTGCATTGTTATGGAGGAATACGTGGTTAGTTCATGCTTTGGGTTGAGGAGTTGGAATGGTATACCCTATAGTTTATGACATATTATGCGATAAATTTCGATCAACCTGGGCTGATCGGATTCAGCAAACAAACATTACCGTCCCGCAGTTGGCCAATCTCCATCAGTGACAACCACAAACTATGAAGACACACCTCACATTGGGGCCACAGTACATGCATAGCAACCCAAACAAAAATAGAAAAGTAAATTCTTATAGTCCTACTGAGATAGTCATGAATTGCTGTTCTATCTTTTTTCCCATGTTCTTGGACAATTCCTTCAAGGCGACCTTAATATTTGCCATGATGACCCCACACAATGGTTTGCTCAATCATGTATCCATTTAATATCACCATGTTTCATCATGTTTCTAGGTTTAAGTTGGAATTGACAGGTTAAGTATCAATTTGTTGGAGTGATGAACATGGAGAACATCCTCAATCTTCCATGTTTTTCCGCGTTAACTTGCATTGTCTTGCGCTGTTTTGGGGGTAACAAAACAGCAGCATGTCCCGCAGATTAGTTCCGCCAGGTGGAGATGATCTTTTCCCCAATTCCCATCAGCGAATTGGTGTGGTCAAGTGGGGGTCGCTAAACTTTACCATCGCATGATGAAAGTGAACCATAATGGTTAATGATTGGTTAGTGAATGATGATTTGGCTAAATTTTACCATATCAAATAATGAGGCCAAATCATCATTCACTAAGCTGACATAAGGCTAACCATGGCTTTCCTGTGGGATAATTCCCCATCATTCCCCATCGTTCCTTCCAGTGAGATCCTCATAATTCACCGAGATAAGGACAGTGACATACTTAAGTCACCTTACCTATGAGATCCTATGAGATCCTTACTTGGAATGTGCATCCCACTTAGGATCCGTGGTTTATAACCCATACATTACACACACATACATATATGTATATATATATATATATATACTATATATATATAATATATATATATATACATATATATATATATACACACTCATATAATCCCCCCCAAAAAAAGGGGATATACCATATATATATATATATATTGTATATATATATATATTGTATATATATTGTATGTACAAAGGTTTTCCAGCCATTGACTTGACTAAGTGGGGCCACCCCCAAGTAACCATCATTCCCATCCCAGGCTCGGTTCTCCACAATGTAGCGCCCTTGCCACGATTGGACAAGCGCGAGGAGGCGCGGGTCGTGCATCCTCGCTTCGCTGCCAATGAGAATGTCATGGGGAACAACTGTAGATGGGTGCAACATCCTGCACCAGTTAGGAACTATTGGGATTCTGCGGGAGCAGGGAGGTTCACCTATTCCAACCACCACCAACCAGGCCTATCTCCAAAAGAGATGTTGTTGTTGATGTCAAGGAAGTAGTATGGATATTGGGTCGCCAACCAATATGGCGTCAAATGAGGTGTGACTCCCTAAGTCACCAGGAAAACACGTGGGCCCGTTTTACTGCCCAGGCTCAAGCGCTGCGGTCGTGCAGCAACGTCACAAACATGAAACACAACCTATGAGGCAACCTGTCATGTCTTTCGCATCAGCCAAATTCTTTTCTTGGCTCAAAAGGTTGTGACATGGGAAAAAGGTTGCAAACATTGGAGATCTCTCATTTGCTGAAGGGCTCCACGTCCTTGTTGTTTCGCCTTCTTCTCGCTGGTGACAAACTTCGGGTCATAGTGAAGTCGCCAGACAAAGTTGCGAAGAAACTGCAACAGGCTCTGTCGGGCCACCTGAGGCTTCTTCGTCAAAGCATCGCTCAGGTTCCAATCACCAGCAAGCCAAATGAGCTTTGCTCCACCATGGTCAAGTTGTTCACGAAGTTGGTAGGCCTGCAGAGCACTGCGGGCATTCGTGAGACCAAGCATCGGTCCCTCAGAGCGAGTGACAGCATCAAAGCCACCCTTGCTATCTGTTCCAACGATGCCATAGATGGTCTTGACCATGTTGTTGGCGCTGTTGAGGACATCATCACCAATGGGTGCACCATTGAGTTGGCACCACATGAATCTCGTTCTAAAGTTTGCGTCCTCACCTTCCAACATAGACTGAACTTCACCATCATTTGTGCTGATGGCTTTGCGCTTCAGCTTCCAAGTTCTCCATCCAACAATGGATAGACGTCCAGCTGCTCCTTCACGGTGTGCAGGACCACCTAAAAGTGTCAGCAAACCACCTGTAGAATCACCGCTAGGTCGATTGGCATGGGCTTGATCAGCAAGCGTGACAATTGTGACATCTTGCCAATGTTCAAGTTCAGGATGATTCCAAAACTTCAAGCTAACTGGATTGGAACGAACTTCTCTAATGAGTTCTTGGATCTCCTTGGCCGTGTTCATGTCATGGTTGCTTGTGATCTGCGAAAGAAGCAGATTGGCTCGCGCACAGGCTTGAACTTGTGTTTGAGTTGCAGCCCATTGGACTGCTCCAAGTCCGGCTCGGCAAGCACTCACTTCATCAGGAGTGAGCTGTGGGTTGTCGGTGCGCTTCAAACGCTCCGGGGCAATGGTCAGGTCCATGAGGCCTTCCACATAGTAGTTCTGATCCACCTCGACCAGAAAGTCATTACCCTCGGTCTTGACATTGATATCCAAACCAGTGTGTCGGTACTGGTTGATTTTCACCGTTCCCCACTTGTAGCTCTTGTCAATGGCCTCTCTGATGCGAAGCCACTCAGGATCTTGTAGATCTCCGGCTCTGTTGAAATCGTCAACATGTCCGCCGACAAAACCAATCAGCTGCTCAGTGTCAAACTGATTTCTAGGAATTGGGTTTGGCTTTGTCCAAATCCAGAAGGAACTGTCGCCGATCAGGCGTTTCGCTCCCAAAGCACAAAAGGTTTTGTCCACATCTTCCCATAAACCTCGAGGTGCTGTGGCGTTGCCATAGACGTTCTTGAGGATTCGAACCGCTTCATGAGGTTCTGCTCCAAGGGCACGATTGAGTTCAGGTACCCCTTGCATCCAAATTCTGCGATCCTCCTCCGTCTTGCCAGTCTGCAAAAATGCAGTGGACATATCAAGTCCTTCCAACTGCCAACGGCGTTGAGCCACCACACACAAGGAGAGGTTGCGGACCAACTGCGATTGCACTGGTGCAGTTGTTGCTAGAGACGGGTCCAACAAGTCAGGGTGTTGATAGCCCAAAACGACTATCCTCGCCTTTGCTTTGCGAGTGCCATCAGAGCTGTGGACTGTGTCCTCATTCTCCCTGGCGTCAGCAAGTGCTTCAGCACGCGATTCCTCAGGCACTGATTTCCAAACCAATACCCATCTTGATTTCAAAACACGTCCACTTCGCTTCGCTTCTTGTTGCTCTTCAAAGCTCAAACAGCGGCGAACTGCCTCTGTCTTGATGAAGCTTGAAACTTCAGAGTTCATTGCTCGCTTGAACAACTCCTTCTCATTGGCACTCAAACGACGAAAACTCACCTCTGAACCAGCCAGTTTCTTCGCCAGGTAGAGGCTCGGGTTTCTCTGAAAAGCCTTCTTTTGGCGATTTGAAGCAAGGTCCAGCTCGATGTCCATTAAATAGCCACTGTCGATCTGGTTGAAGATCTGCAGGTGTTTCATGTACATGTCTTCCTTGTCGTCCTCGTCCTCATAGCGGGCACGCTTGGACTCAGGCTCAGGAACTGGATCAGGAAGACCATCTTCAGGAGAGTCCAAATAGGGCTCTTTGTTTTCCACCATCGGTGTTGAAGATGTTGTAGAAAATCTGCGATCTTCACGAAGAGGACCATGAGGCATGTTGCCAAAGTCGTCATCTTCCAGGTCGATAGGTTCAGGATCCTTTGCAGGTGTTGTAGGTGCATAAGATGGTGATCGTGCTGCTTGTTCATCACCATAGTCATTCACCATCTCAGGCTGCTCATAGACATCGCTGGGCTTCTTCTTCCCAGAGATTCGCATCGGAGGCATAGGTCCAGTAGGGCCAACCTTGGAAAAGTCAGGCACATAGTAAGGAACACCAGGAAACCGTGAAGAGGATCTTGATGAAGAAGTTCCAGCTGTTCGCATATCAGGTGGATGTTCAGGAAGGTCAAACTCCTCGGTCTCACCATCCGCAGGCTGCTCGTGCTCGATGTCGACGTACTCCCTCTGGGGAATGATGTCGGAGAGCTGCTTCCACTTGTTGGGATCGATGACATTTGTTGCTTCTTCATGGGCTTGTTCTCGATCCGACAAGGGTCGCACCGAGAAGACAGAACATCGATAGAGCGTCTTGCCAATAACCACCCAGACGATTGGAATTGGATCTCCTTCTACTTGTCCAGGAATGAGTTCATGTAGAACCACTCTGCCAGGTCCAATCCATCTCGGTTTCACAGTGCGCTTGACTCCTCCACGAGGTCCTTTGTGGAACTTCGGAGGCAAAAACTTCCTCCAAACCATCACAGGCTGTGCAAGGTCGAAGTTGCGACGAGGCTGCTTCACAGTAGTGTTCTTGATCCTTGAAAGCACATGATCTGCCCTGGCTTTTCTCGCATGCTCTTCAGCAGACTGTCGATTTGTCAAGAGTCGGGCAAATTGATCTTGTTGACGGTCAATTGGAAGTTGAAGATGCTGACGTAGCTCATCATCAGTCAGCTCAGCTTGTCGACCAAAGGCCCATTGGATACTGCTGTATCCCTTGTTGTACTCCGTGGAGTTCACCGCTGCTGTTGCAAGTGCAAGGCTGATCTCAGGATCTTGGTCAGGAGAGGAAGCATGAATCCTCGAAGCAGTCTCTTTCACCAGTTGATGACCACGTTCAACAAGTCCATGAGCCCAGGATTCATGATCCGGTGGGTAGATCACTTCGATGCCAAGGTCTGACATGTAATCCACAAACTTCTTCGCTGTGAGGCTCTTGGCATTGTCTGGAACCAAGATTCGAGGTCTGGGCTTGTCAGAAAGCCACCTCAAGGAAACACTGCGGATCATCTCCTCGGCAGACTCATTCTTGATAGTGCCGTGCTTGTTCTTGAAGAGGACGTCGGTCACCTTGTACTTGGTGCATAGATCCATCATGATGACAAACTTCACCTTGATGTTTTCACCAGGAACTTCCCACTCAGAGACATCGATGCCAACTTGTTCCCAAGGTCCAGGAAGATTGCGCATGCTCGCTGGGTTGATCTGCTTGGAGCTAATGCCACCGCCCTTTTGTTCTTGGCAGTAGGGGCAAACATGCTCCAAGGCCATCTTGATCTTCCATCGTGGGAGTTGTGCATCAGCCATCATCCGCGTCATGTTGCGCGCTGTGGGATGTCCAGCTTGTCTGTGAAAGCGATCCAATTTCGCTTTCCATGCACGTTGATCTTGTTCAGAAGGTTGAACTTCAGCAGGAACCACCGCATCGTCAGGCACGTTCTCATCGTCCTCCATGAAGAGGTCGCCATCAGGAAGTCCAGAACATAGATGAGCTTGATGATCATCACCATCGCAGAGCTCCTTGAAGGGGTCCATCACCACAGGTGCTGTTGAAAGCATCTTGATCCATCTGTCAGGGATCAGAGTGCGACGCCAAAGCTGTGCAATACTTCGGCAAAGTGCCGTTGGGTAGTAAGCACTGCGCGTCGTTTCAAGTCCATGTATTTGAGCATGTTCATGGTTTTGAAGACACACCTTCAAGCGAAACATCGTGTAGAAGACCACATCAGTCGTCAAGATCTGCCAGGACTTCTTGATGATGTTGCCATGAGAGTCTTTCATGCCGTAGCGGCATCCATCGATCTGGCACAGGTAAAGATTCCTGCCACACTTCTTGAAGAGTCGAGTCTTGAACTCTTCCACATGAGACTCTTTCCAAGCTCTGCAGCGTCGCGGCCATTCCCAGTAGAGATCGGCAGTCTCGTCTTCCAGCAAGGCTTCTTCTGCAAAGTCCATCACCTTAAGGTGCATTGATTTCTCCTTGCGACGTCGTTCAAAAAGAACTTCACGTCGGTTGTGATAGTTGAGGTCTGTCCAGTCACAGTAGAAGGTGCAAGGAGTGCTGATCCAAAACTTCTTGGGCTTGTGGCGACGTCGAAGTTGACGTAGGCCATCATAGGTGTTCTTGCGATAGAGGTCGAAGCCACCCGCCAGGTTGATGCGGTAGGCGCACAAGCCAGCTTTCAGAGCTTGGTTGGTCAGCTCACTGTCAGGACTGCAGAACATTTCCCAAAGCATTGGAGGTTTCTGGTAGACTACCTGGGCAATCTCAGAGTGAAGTTG